CGCAACTTTTTTTTTTTTTTTTTTTTTTTTTTTCATTTTTGAGAGACTCGGGAGTTCTCTCCTTTTATAAAAGGACTAGCAATACTAAGCATCATGTCTTGCGTACAACAACACGCATTGTTCCATAACCTCCGTGCGAAACAACCTTGACAGCCGACGAGCAGCTTTTTCCCTTGTCTTAGTCTCTCTTGAATTCGGCCGACAGCCGCCGCGCCCGCCACGCCGCAAGGCCGAGGGCCAACAGGCCCACGGGTACCAGGAGCCCGCCGCCGCACATCAGGCAGAACAAGCCCGCGGCGGCACTGGTGCGGCAGGCCCGGACGGCGGCCACGAGGAGCATGATCACCGCCAAGGCGGCCGTCGCCCCGTAGCATGGTGACCTGTTGAAGATGACGTCAGTTCGCGCGAACAGCTTGCGAGGACAACCCCGGACAGGAGGTATGGAGACGTACAGGTAGAGACACTGGTGCAGGCCCAGGATCAGCATGAGCAGGCCGAGGAAGGCGAGCACGGCGGGGGGTGTTTCGGTGGCATCCGGGTCGTCGTTGTCGGCGTCGACGCCGCGCTCGCAGCGGTCCAGGCTGTCAAATTCGGTGTTGCTCTGGACGTGGGGCTGCATCGCGCGGTTTCCCATGGCGAAAGTTGAATCGAGTGTTGCTTAGTATGAATAAAGACACTCAAGGAAGCGTCGATCTGAGCAGTTCCATCCATGGTGGTTTTCTTCTGGAAAAACTCGTCAGCTTGACCCTTTATATATACACTCAGACAAAATGCCTCGTCTCACCGGGCCAGCGAAGACCTATGATGCAAGACTACTATATACATGCTACCTCAAAGTGCCGGAGCGACAAGGTACACGAAATACGGCGTGCGGGAGGGGGTCGTGTCATGATAGCTTTACTGTTGCCAATGCTGATGGGGACACAGCACAAAGAGTTGAAAGAGCCGGTACAACCAAGAGCGAAACAAGACTTCCAAACAAAAATTCCCCGGTTGGACATGGCTGTGCCAGGCGCTGTGCCTCTGCGTCCCAGCTTCTTTTCTGTTCGTTTCGATTTTCTCATAAGCTTCATGATCTGCCATGAGAGGGCGAAATGTCTGTACTGCGACTTCATCACGACAAGTGAGGCGTGACTCGCGATAGATACAAACGGATCGAGAAGTGGCAACTAATCGCAGTAATCGCGTCATTGTCAGTGGCCAGCTGAGACCTCTTGTCCTTTGGCAGGAGGTGGGAAGAAGTCAATGTCTGCTTGACGTAGTACAACTTCCAGAGGCTAGGAAGGTTGGTACACTGGCCGGGACAGCTACTGTACGTCCGCGATTCGCCCCAGCAGACATATGCGTTGTGCGGAAGGAGAAAAGTTTCATGACAAAACAGTAAGGCGAATATGTAGCACAACTTTCTCTCATAAAACGACGGCGCATGTTGGCCTTGTGAAACTTTATCCTACCTCTATCATTAGCTGCTGTGTGTTGGCCGGAACAGTGCAACACGGGATCATAATTATAAATGCAGTCTGCGGCACCTGCATAGGACAAAGTCAACATATATCACACCCATATTATGGATGTGACCTATACAGTACTCATTGAATTCGCCTCCCTTGGGCATTTACTACTACCCATTCGCAGCTGGCTGAAGGCTGCGCTGGAACCCCACCAAAAGATGCCCAAGCATTCACGAATGACATGCAATAATAAGACTGGGTATCACAGGCTATCCGGACAGGCCGTGAGTCTGTCATTACGGGGCTGTACATGCTACTAGACATCCACGGTCATTGCTCATTGACATGTCCAGGGCGACGGACCAGCCAGCTTACACAGGTACTCGAACACAGAGTTCAGCCAACCCTGCAAAATAGGCGGTTTCTTTCATAAGTTGGTCCAAAAACGTCACTCTTCAATTCTTTTTCTGGTGGGAGCATTTCCAAGAATTTCGTACGCCTGCCTTCGTGATCCATGCCCAGCGTGGTCCTGACCTACCAACCAGTACACATTGAACCGGTACCAGACTGGCCGCTTCAACTCTCGAAGCAACACGGTATTAGCATCAGTCCCAAGACCATTTTCAGACACCCCTTTCATCACTAAATTCTTTGCTCAGTTCAAAAATACCCATGTGCAAGTCGCGGTCTTGATAATAAACCCCCCGCAGCCGGGAGCTCAGCCGGCTCCACCGGCTCCCGACGGCCGAGTGGGGAATCTCGCGTGCCCGCTCGCCACTTCTCTCCCAAGAACAAACGAAACTTGACCTCCTTCAACCTCACTCAATCTCTCACAAGGCTCCGTTTCGTCTGTCTGTCTCGACATTCATTGTCGCTTGCTCTGTTCATTTGTGAGTCAGCAGCAGGCGACTTTTCTCTCCTCCTTGTCCCGCGAACGACCGCCTGCCTCATCCCAGCTGTCACGAGCCCACGACACCACACCGCAGCCCTTGATGATGGCAAGCAAGACGTCTGCTGCTGCTGCCTTGTGCTCGGCCTGCCGCGCCTCCCTCTTTCCCTCTCCCCCGTCCGCCTCGCCGCATCGAACGTCCCGACGTCTACCCTCTCTACGCTCGCCTACCACCACACACCGCCGTCGAACGTACGCAACTACATCCTCCTCCTCCTCCTCCGGCGAGACCACACCGCCACCGCCGCCATGGCCTAGCTCGCCGCACCCGACACCCTACGAGATATTCGGCATGGCCCGGCGTGACCCGTACGCGAAGCGCCGCTTCCACCAGCTCGTCAAGCTCTACCACCCCGACACCACACCACCACCCACCTCCTCCTCGCTTTCCCCCTCCGTCCGCACCGAGCGCTACCGGCTCGTCGTCGCCGCCAACGACCTTCTCAGCGACCCCTCCCGCCGACAGCTCTACGACCTCCACGGCGCCGGGTGGGCCTCCCCCTACGACGACGAGAACCACCTACGGCGGCGCGACCGCGACTGGCGCCACCAGCCCGGCAACGCCGCGCGCAACGCCACCTGGGAGGACTGGGAGGCGTGGCACGAGGAGCAGCGCTGGCGGCAACGACATCCCGGCGCCGCGCCGCCGCCGGGACCCGTGTACATGAGCAACGGGCTGTTCGCAGCGCTGGTGGTGGCCATGTGCCTGGTCGGCGCGCTCGCGCAGAAGAACCGCGCGCTGGCGGTCGGCGAGCAGTACGTCGAGTTCGCCGAGGACCGCAACGCCGACATTGGCCGCGCGGTGCGTCGCTCCGCGAGCGCCGCGGCCGGGCGCTCCCGCGAGGAGCGCATCGACTCCTTCGTCCGCGAGAGGGAGAACGTCGCGTATCGCTACCGCCCGGGCAGGTATGATGACGCGCCGTCGCCGTCGCCGGACGTGCCTGGGGCGGTGGAGGAGGAGGCGCCGCGGCTGCGTGGGGTGAAGGTGCCGCCGCCGTGAACTCGGGCGCTCGGTTGATTAAGCTCTGTATATGCTTCCATACATATTTCAAGGTGGTGTGTCTGTATTTTCTAGGCGTTGTTCTCCGTGTTTGTGGTGTAGCTGTCCTCCGTGATTGGCTGACTGTAACTCGTGCTGCGGGTATGACGTAGCTCACGCCTCACGTGTATCTGCCGTGACGATGCATTCGCCATTGACCAATACCATAAGAAATTTATACCGTCAGATGCACCTCTTGCATCAACAATGCGTCCTCCTGAAGCAATTGATACCAAAATTGGCAGTTAACATTAACCGTGGCCGAGGAATTGTAGGTCTAGTTTTTTCTATAGGGTAGCGTGATGAAGCTCCGAGCTCACCGCAAGCTCCACAGCTGGCCAGGAAGCATACGAATATCGCGAGCTTCGTTGTCCCACCCACTGTTCGGGATAGAGCTCCCACTCCCTTCATCAGGGGGCAACCAGGCCAGACCCACGCAGCTTTGTGTCTCCGAGTAATTCTCGCTGGCCGTCGAAAAACGAGCCGCGGCGAGTGTGCTACAGCATCTCCGGCTACAGCACCATTACAGCGCTATTTCGATGAGATTACACCAATACAGGGGCAATTCAGTCGCTTGTTGCCTCCTCCTTTTTTTCTGCTGGCCTGGCGGGAAGTTGTTTCGCATCGGCAATGCCGATTCTCGGGGCGTGCCGGCATCCTGCCCGGCGCTGAGATGCCTGGTTAAAGCCACTGTCTCAGTGCTATTTGGACAGGTCAACAGGATTATCAGTGTGCCATGTCCTCTCCATGATTACAGTGCAATTGCTACTAGCAGGGAAGCACAAAAGGCTATTACGCTCATATTTGAGCATCATGATTACATGTCCACAGTCGTGGGCCTTGAGCGTGTTTTTGTTTGGGTGCTTGGACGGAGCAAAGGCCCACGACTCCACTGGCCTGGTCCGGGTTCCTGTGTGATGACTTGAGGAAAAAGGAGCGCAAAGGGGCAGGAAGACTCTCCAGTTGCCAGGTACTCCACGATGGAGTGGCTACCAAGAGTGGGATTTATTACTGGTATTCGCAGAAAGCTGCGCCCAAACATGCTGCCGTCATGCCAGTCATCCTGTGTCGAGCTTGAGATGCTGCGAAAATAAGCTCTCTCATAAGATGCGTCAGTCTAGCCGCCTTACCAGTACGTCGGAGCGCCACATGCAGGATGTATTATTAGTAGCGGCTCGCACCAAGACGGGCTGCAGCTTCGGCCCAGGAACCTCGGAATTGCAAGAAAAAGGAGCTCGCCCGAACAGGCATCGCGCAGGAAAGGAAAGCCAAGACACGCGCTAGAATGACAGGCAGAAAATTTTTCTGTCCGCCAGGCCGGCCCAGCTGACAAGGGTATGATGGTCACATAATAGGAGGATGCCGTTGCAGGGGCCGCCGGTTCACCCAGCCACTGCCAGTTGATGGCAACGGCATGCAACACACCACCCGTTGTTAGTGCTGTCCAGGGCTGCGAGCCCAAGTTTCGGAGGCTGAGCTAGGCGAGCAGAGCCTCAGGCCGTTCTATCCTTGTGCGAGATCCACTGCGAGATTGCCAGAAAATGGCGCCTTGGTGTCGTGGCGTGTCGCGACATCGGTGGTGCGAGCTCAACGTCCGAGGAAGAGTTGGGATATTGGCGAGCCGTTCATGAGAGAGCCGTGTTTTCGAGTTGAATAATGCCAGAATATTGTTCGTCTTCACCATCTTCCCGATATTCGAGAGCAGAACCGTCGTCCCCTTCGTATCGCGCGTGGCATCTTTGCGTATGTTGTTGGCTTCGGAACCTGGCGGTGTTCCGGTCGGTAGCCGGTGACCTCGGGCGTAGGCGTGTACTGGTACGTACCAGCAGGTCGGCTCTTACCATGGTATCGATTCCTTGGTGGCCGTTGATCAAAACTCTTCCATCAAAACCGCCCAAAGTAAAACGGGCAAACCACCACCTTTATACCTTCAGTCTCTGCTGCCCGTCCCTGGATTGTCCCACAGCGAAAAAAGCCGTATCCAGTCTTTTTGCTCTTTGCTCACGTTAACACACACAGTCAGGAGCGAGAGCTTGTGAGCAGGCACGACGGGAGCGATAGCAGAGCCGCACCCCCCTTCGAGCTTCTGCTGAGGCCAACAAACGACCCGCTTACGGTGGCCCGAGACATTCTCAGCGGATAAGAGGCCCAACTTTGTGTGTTATTGCCACACCCAGCCAACCAGCAGGGTAATGCTATTTGCTGTTGGCGCCCACGTGTAAATAACTGACTTCCGCTGGCTCGCCAGCCCATGTCGGAAGCACTACCATCCCGGTACGAGATCCCCTGAAGGGCGCTGTATTTGGTACACTGTACCAGTAATAACTGGCTACAAGCACAGGGCGCTTGGGGGCGTGCCAGCCTGAAAGCCAGTAATTCCCGAAATGGACGGGCCAAAACTCTCTTCCATCTCGCTTCCTCAGGCCGAATCTGTTGTTGCGGCCTAGCCTTATCGTTGGTGCGCTTAACCCGATACGGCGACAAGTGTCAGGTTTTCTGCAGCCCATCTGCGCCGCGCTTCCGCCGATAAGTCCTAATGCGGCATATCGGATCAACTTTGGCTGTGAAAAAAGTGAATCCTTAATTCAACGGCATCAACGCTCCGTCAAAGGCTGAAAAAAGTTTTCGCCCCCCTAATAAGCCGCAAAGTTAGCGTACGGGTTCACGACTGTGGCGTCTCTCATTTTTTCTTTGCAGCTGTACTTCGTAAGGATTCATCTCGAGCAGCTTGCTTTATACCTCGTTTCAATGGTGAGCAAAAGGCTGCCATTAGCTCGGTTCAACATATCGTAAAGCCGCAGTATTGTATCGTGTACGTAGTGTCTTGCATAAGATGGAGAAATGGCTGCCTTGCATTCGGTCTCCGTACCAGTCGTCAGCCAACAAGCAAACAACTTGCTCTTTGTGGTTTTGAGGCTTTGGTCGTCCGTCTTATTCGCACACCCCATCCATCCCTTTCCCATTCATTTTTTCTTTGCCTGGCTCATGATTCATGGCCCACCCGCCAAGCACGCAAACGTCTCGGGCTTCCCAAACTCTGCTCTCCCAGTAACTGGCTTGTTGGCTGGGTCCTTCCCACTCTCACACCCTCCCAAACCCACCCGACTTTGCCCGATCCACAACCAGCGCCTGGTTCGTGAGGCCATCACCGCCAGCCCATTCTTCTCACACACCCTTCTGGCCCCCGTTCAGTTCTGCCTCTCGTCAGAATATCCCTCTCTGCCCCGGCCGCCTCGGCCCCCTTCGCTCTCTTCCCATAATACCGTCCACACAGTCCTCAAATTCCCGTAGCATACTCGTAGACCCCAACCCCAGTGGATCTCTCTCACCTGACTCCAGTCCTCTCTCTCCTTCTCCCTTTTCCTCCACAGACTTTTACTCCTTCTCTCCCACCCTTTTGCTTCCAGTCCTCAGCACATCTCCAATACCTCACCTTCAACCAAACCTCAATCTCTCCTCACCAATCTTCACAATGGCCTCCCGCTTCGTCGCCTCCCGCCTGGCTTCTGCCGCCCGCGTCAACGTCGCCGCCGCTTCCAAGCGCTCCATCTCTGGTATGTTGCACCACGACACGAGAAAACTTTTCTTCTTGATCGAACGGCGATTTGGAGCTTGTCAAACCATCCCAATCGACCTGCCTGGCTGTCAATGGCACCAATTCGCCTTCAATCGTCTCGGTAAACCGCATATTGAACCAATTGGCTAACCTGTCCTGTCTTCAGGTGCCGCTAAGCGCACTCAGGTCGTCCCCCGCACCGCTTTCCAGGTCCAGCGTCGTGCCTACTCCTCCGAGATGGCCAACGCCCTGGTTGAGGTCTCCAAGAACATTGGTATGGGCTCTGCCGCCATTGGTCTGACCGGTGCTGGTATTGGTATTGGTCTCGTCTTCGCTGCTCTCATCAACGGTGTTGCCCGCAACCCTGCTCTCCGTGGCCAGCTTTTCTCCTACGCCATTCTGGGTTTCGCTTTCGTCGAGGCCATTGGTCTTTTCGACCTCATGGTTGCCCTCATGGCCAAGTTCGTACGTATAACCGATTTGTCGAATATCCCTCATAGGTCCGGCTAACTTTCTGCGCCTCAGACGTAAACAATTTCTCATTCAATTGAGTCGATCCCTCTTCACTGATGGGGTCTCTAATATCCGGGGACGATCAGCGATGTTGATGCGCGGTATAAAGTTCTCACGACGGAGATTCTTTGCCGGCACTCACCTATGTTTAAAAAACGGAATTGCATTATAGACGGGGTCAAGACGTGGGAGGCGGACATGTCAAGAGGACATGATCGTGATGGATTTGGAAAGCCCAAACACAAGTTCCTATTTGGAACTACCCTGTAAAATAAAAGGTCAATCATCTCGATCATAAAGTTTTTCTTTGTCGACAACAATCGATACTATTTTCAGAAGCATTTTTCCTCTGGACGTGATGACTCGCAATGCGGAGAGGACCCGGCAGTGACAGTACCGACATATCTCTCGGCCGGGAACACCGAATCATTTCTATGCTTTGTCCTGCGATTGACGGGAACCGAGCGGTGCGTCGGCGTAAGGGTAGACACCGGCGAGAGCTGTGTATTTCTGATTACTACCGAATGCCCATCTCGGTAGACATTTTCCGAAAGTTGCAAGTCCAATTGACTTGTCCCTGTCGATGAGACGGCAAGAAGAGCTGATTTTGGTAACCGATCACCCGAGCTACCTCGCGGCAGCTTCACATGAAGCTCTAGGGAGCTGCAAAGCTAATGTTGGTAATATTGGCGCAACGTCGTCATCGAAGCTCTGAGAGCTGGCAAGGCAAATCAAATGGAGAGAATCGACTGATATCTTCTCAGTCAAGGAATTGAAAACCGATCCTCACAGTGTCTAGATGTTTGTTTCGAGGTCTGGATCGTCGCATCATCTTTCGGCTTGGTGTGGCGGAAAGGTGTTCGATATGGCGAGCAGGTCCCGCGTTGTTGCCTCGCGACTGTTGAAAACTAGAAATCGTCGCGTATTCGATAGTGCCCGATTTAATCCATTAATGAATGGTCCTTCGTACTTGTGATGAGGATGCTACTCCTCAAACGCGAGGGGCCCGAGCCCCCATACTCGCGGCTTGATCGCTGCTGTCAAGTTAGGTCTAAAACGAGATCAAAGTCACAATTGATGCAAAAAATATTGGAGGTGCACATGTAAATGAAGATGGAAGTATTTCATTGAGTAACGTGATGAGGTTTAAAGGCTGGCTGCCCTGCCGCGACAGGCATCACGCGATGTGCACCTTCCCCTCACTTTGAGGCTAGGCAACGGGCCGACCATGTTTTTCCGGCTTGGCCTACCTGCACAGCGGCGAGAACCCTGCATTATGCGTGACATCAATATGAAATAGGTACTGTAGCTAGAAAAAAAAAATGAAGACCATTGCTGCAGATCGCTGCACTAGGTGTAAAAATTCTGTCTGCTTGCTGCCCCCATACAATTATACGCACTTTCATCAGCTTCAAGCATGCCAATTCCATTTTGACCGAAAACGCCAACTCAAAATATGCTATATACAAAACTTATTTCTTAAACGTAGCGCTTCTCTCACCCCGAATTGGAGGTGCCTTTCTTGCGCCCTTCAGCAGGTCGTCGCCCGTCTTGGAATACGGGTCAAACACCTTTTGCTGCTTTGCCGGGCGCGCAGCCAGGGCCGCGGCGGTACCGTCACGCTTCGCGTGCATGACAGATGTCGCCTTGCTATAATCAAACGGCACTGCATTGTACTTCTTGTCTGTTGCTACCGACTTCTGTTCACTCTCCGCCTGTCGCCGCACCTTCTTTGCCAGCTTGGCCTCCCGTTTTTGCTGCCTTTCAAGCTTGGCCTGCTTCTTTTCGGCGTTGCGTTGTTTCTTCCGTGGAGCCTCATCGTCGATATCGATGATGCCGTCGGCCGGCGCCGGTTCTACTGGCTTGTCGGCCACTTCATCCTCGTCGGATTCGGATTCTTCGCTAGTTTCTGAGTCCTCGTCAGGTGCAGATTCCGACTTCCGTTTCGTGCCGCGCTTCAGCGTGAACTCCTCATCTTCCTCGACAGGAGCGGGCGGGGCAGGCGAGGAAGCTTCGGGTTTCACGAGGGAAGAAGTATCTTCCTCCATTTCCGTGCCCTCTTGAACAGAGGCAACGAATCTTTGCCAAGGGAATGGAACCTCGTCGTTCATGCTTTCATCCACATCCAGTGAACCGCTCCGCCGTGAGCTAATGGGCATGTCGCCAAACAAGCGTGAGCGAGGCAGACTTCTGCAGGAAATGGTGCCGCCAGGCTCTGGCAACTTGGCCAGATCGCGGCCTGCCTTGGGCAGCGCATTTCTCGTCGCCGCGTCTGGAGCGATGCTTGCAAAGAATTGCAGTAGACTCGGTCCCGGGCGTTGGCTGGCTTCCAAAACTCGGGTCCAAATTTCATTGATTCTTGATCTAGCCAGAGGCGCCGTCAAAGGCATCAGACTATGAAGAGCCTTGGCATCGGGAGGATTGGCACGACATATATCGGCTAGATTGTTTGTTCCCAGGACAAAATTGGGACTCTCATCTTCTTTTCTTGCCGTGTCGTCCCTCCACTTCCAAAGGGTCTTGAATAGGGTGAATTGTGCTGCATCGTAAGACAAATGCGAGTGCTTCAGGACGTAGTTATACCAACCCCGAGGCCCCTCTCCAGTTTCCTCGTTGTATCCTGGGTGTACATGTCGAGATAAAGAAAGCTCTTTTGATTTTTGCAGGGCACGAACGATGAGATTTTGCTCCGGTATACTTTGATTTGACGATGAGACAAGATCATTGCGAACCTGGTCATATATATGGAGCAGATAATGGGTATCGGATCGAGCATAGTAGAGCATTTCTTCCGGTATTGGGCGAATACGCCAATCAGCCAGTTGGTACTGCTTATCGGCGTCAAAGTTGGCAAATTTGGAGAGCAAAAAGGCAAGGCTGCGCCCTGAGTAAGCCAATTGCTCGCAAGCGAAGAATGTGTCGAAAAGGCCATTGATGTAAAGGCCTAGGTCGCGCTGTAGCCAGACCATGTCCATATAAGCTCCGTGAAATACTTTGATGATGGAGGGGTCCGCAAAAACCTCATTCAGCACCTCAAGCTTGTGGCGCCAGGGCTGAAGAGTGTCGACGATCCAGTCCTGCTGCCGGGTGCTGACCTGCATGAGAGAAACCAAGCCGACGTATGTTCGAAAGTCGTGATGTTCGAGATCAATGGCGATCTCCTTTGCCTTTTTCAACTCTTCGAGCATCTCGAGCACACCTTCGTACGTATCCACCCATTTTGCTGTGGTCGTTTCGACGGGCTGCCACGGGATAGGGTCAGCTACCTTGAAAGCGCTGTCGGGGTAGGTCATTTGTAGGATTTCATGCTCATATGGGTGTTTGTACCTATCGACAGGGTTAGAAGAATGAAGATTTTCATGATGCGGAATACGTACTGCGTCAAGCCGTCTTCGTCAGTGAACGTAACAAGACTGTCTTGCAAAGATACGACAGCATGTGGCTTGTTTGTAAGAGTCGGCTTCCATGGACCAGTGGGAAAGTTGTCGGGTTTCACATCGAAGAGATTTTGCGGCTTGACGACATTTGCATTTCGGATGACTTTGTTCGTAGATTTTGCTCGTTTTGAGTTAGAGGCCTGTGGGATGTTAGCTATCTAAGTTTTGAAGCCGAAATGGAAGTGTACACACAGCGTCGGAGGGAGGTTCTTTGCGCTTGATGAGCCCTGTGTATTCATCGAGGGCCGTGTCGGCCTTTTCGAGGACAGAGTCGACCACGTCGACAACACCTTGCCAGTTCATATCGATATCTTCGGCATCGGTGAGAGTCGGGGCGGCGACGCCGCAGGCGCGTGCAGCCGATCGCAATAGGCGCGTTGAGAGATCAAGCAGGCGTGCCGACTTTTCATCGAGCTGCTCCGCGGTGTCCGGGTTGACGGTCCGTTGGAAGCTGAGATCCTCGGCGGCGATGCGGTTTGCATACTTGACAGTGGACACAAGGGGCTTTTGGACCCCGTCCTGCAGCGACTTGAAGTCCTGAGGCGCCGCCATTATGAGAGTGGTGATGTTGATGGCAATTGTGATGGGCTTGTCGCACGGGAGCAGACAAAAATTCAGGGCGCTTATCGATAAAGGAGTTGGGAGCTCCACTGGCTTGTAGGTGGAAGCGTGGTGTACAGTATGTAAGTGGGTTGTGTACAGATAGTTACGGAGTACGGAGATGATTGAATCTATAACTATGAGACAGGAGCATGTATTCTACCCTGTATTTTATTTGGCGTTATGATGCTTTGCAATTTTCTTTACAATAAGTTGTAGTGGGTGTTGTGGCAAGTTGCAACGACCAAGGCACCTAGGTTATGCTGCTCATGATACTACCTAGGAACCTTCTCTCTTGGTTAATAACGCTGTTAGGCCAAAAGATGCGATATTGCGCCGTCCTTTCTTTTTGCGCAAAGAATGATATGCGAGTTCAGCTGCAGCCACGACATGTATGACAAGTAGCGAACGTATGACCAAGCCACAATGAGGCGTCACCGTGATGTAATAGAATGAAGGGGCAAGTGCCCAAACCCAGAGAATGACCAAGGAAAACGCATCTACGACTATATTTTTAACAACTTGTCCGTAATTACTCCTTCTAGCAAGGTTGGGCCGCCAATCCCCCACCACCAGCCGCCTTGTTTTGCTACCTTGCGCGCCGTTCTTGTTACCTGCTAATACCAGCAGTAACGTAGTTTACCAAGGTACTTGCATATACCTGGTCAATCTGCCCCTCATTGCCCGCCTAAAAAGCTCCGTCCATCAAACAACTCACTCACTCGTGCTGCACAACATCATTGCCATTGGACGCTGCAGCAGGATAAATTACCGCAAACCCCAGAAAACCATCTCTGAGCGAGGTCTCTTGTGCGCTCTTTGCACCCGCCTGCATTCTTCTCTCCTGCATAGCACCGTCTCCAACATCCGCCCGCCCGCCTGCCCCTTTGGCATCACCACCTACCGACCGCCCCACATAAGCTGGCCACGCTTTCGTTGCCCCTCCAGCTCTTCATCCTAACGTCGTTGTTGGGCAGCACAGGCCCTTTGCGCGATAACATCGACGCGCCATACGCTTTCACCAGACTTCGGATCGATCCAAACGTCCGCACTGCCGTCGCCATGTCCGCCCCGGCAGAGACACAACAGGAACCCGCCGCGCCTGGCCGTCTCTTGCTTCTCTCGAACCGTCTGCCCATCACTATTAAGCGCTCCGAAGATGGTAGCTACACTTTCTCCATGTCCTCTGGTGGTCTCGTCACCGGACTGAGTGGTCTTAGCAAGACCACCAGCTTCCAGTGGTACGGGTGGCCCGGACTTGAGGTTCCGGACAACGAGGTCGAGGGTATGAAGAAGCGCCTCAAGTCAGAGTACGGGGCGCATCCCGTCTTCATCGACGACGAGCTCGCTGACCGTCACTACAACGGCTTCGCCAGTACGCTTCACTTGTGCTGCTGCTTCTATCTATCGTCTCATGCTGACAATACTAGATTCCATTCTCTGGCCGCTGTTCCACTACCACCCCGGCGAAATTACTTTTGACGAGTCTGCCTGGGTTGCCTACCAGGAAGTCAACCGTCTCTTTGCCCAGACTGTTATCAAGGACGTTCAAGATGGCGATTTGATCTGGGTCCACGATTACCATCTCATGCTCCTGCCGCAGATGCTGCGCGAGGAAATTGGAAACTCGAAGAAGAACGTCAAGATCGGTTTCTTCCTGCACACGCCATTCCCCAGCAGTGAAATTTACCGCATCCTGCCCGTCCGCGAACCCCTCCTTACGGGACTTCTCGACTGCGATCTTATCGGCTTTCACACATACGACTATGCGCGCCATTTCCTCAGTAGTTGCTCGCGCATTCTCGGCACTCCAACTACGCCAAACGGCGTCGACTGGAATGGCCGCTTCGTCACCGTGGGAGCATTCCCCATCGGTATTGATCCCGACAAGTTCGTCGAGGGCCTGAAACGTCCCAAGGTTCAAGAGCGCATCGCAGCCTTGAAGCGCAAATTCGAAGGAGTCAAGCTCATTGTTGGCGTCGACCGTCTTGACTACATCAAGGGCGTGCCGCAAAAGCTCCATGCACTCGAAGTTTTCCTCACCGAGCATCCTGAGTGGATTGGTAAAATTGTCTTGGTGCAGGTTGCTGTACCTTCTCGTCAAGATGTTGAAGAATACCAGAACCTGCGAGCTGTCGTCAACGAGCTTGTCGGTCGCATTAACGGAAAGTTTGGTACCATTGAATTCATGCCGATTCACTTCTTGCACCAGTCCGTGTCGTTTGATGAGCTAACGGCGCTCTACGCTGTTTCGGACGTCTGTCTGGTATCGTCGACGCGCGACGGCATGAACCTTGTCTCATACGAGTACATTGCGACACAGCGTGAGAAGCACGGCGTCATGATTCTCAGCGAGTTCACAGGCGCCGCGCAGTCGCTCAACGGCAGCCTGATTGTCAACCCATGGAACACGGAGGAGCTGGCCAATGCCATCCACGATGCCGTTACCATGAGCTCCGAGCAACGCGCCGCCAACTACAGCAAGCTCGAACGTTACGTGTTCAAGTACACCAGCGCCTGGTGGGGTGCTACGTTTGTCGCCGAGATGACACGCCTCAGCAACGAGGAGACGCAGGCCAAGACGTTGCGCAACGTCTCGGGTGCCGTGGTCTCTTCCGGCCAGAAAGCACTGGCGGAAGAGACCGAGACAAAGGAACCCGAGACGACGCAAGCATGATTAGAGGAATAAACCATGGCAAAGTTCTTTTCTGCTTCTTGTCTTTTTTTCTTCTTGGGGTAGCACGTTGATGCGTCTGCTGCAAATCAAATAACAAATATCGCACGAATACACGAAATATGGGAGAATGGAACCAGAGTCCAGATGGTCTAGCTGCATCTTATCTTTAGCAGGAGTTTTTGGCGGTTTATTGAATTTCTAGCGATTTATCTGGCTCATCTCAATACACATGATTCAAATAGCCGCGTGGCATCCTCGCAACGTTTTATCTCGAGATATCGTTTTCTCTTCTTCCAACCCCGCAAACGCGAACTTTACTATTAAAGCAAGTTCCTGTCCGAAATCATCCCTGTCACTGCTTTCCACGCTATCAACTATAATTTAGGTATGCATACAGTCAGTCCTACAGTTAAGCTTGATACAAGGGCCGGGCCGCCCACATTCCCCCGCTATTGATTGCGGCTGAAGAGGCGTCGTCGACCTTGCTCCCAGGTTGCGATTTTTCAAATGCGTCCTTGGATGGAATCGTCAGAAAACATGTTGATGTCATGTCCGGCACTCCCTTTCTATTTCCTCCCCCATCCCGGAGCAAACTCGTACCCAGACTATGGCTCCCTTCCTCCCATCGCTGTTTGGCGAGGGCCTGCCGCAGTATAAGTACACGCCGATACCGCAGGGCACCCGGACCTTTCGTCTCGCCAAGCTCCTTCCACCCGAGCCCTCCTTGATTCCAGGTTTCGAGCCCACGCTCCGCATCTCCATCTTTGAATGCGAAGCAGGCGACGACAAAGCTCCCGCGTCCCTTGAATATGACGCTCTCTCGTATGCCTGGGACGTGCCCCCGCACGTGAAGCGACCGAACCGCCGCGTCCTTGTCGAAGACGGCGACGGCAAGCGCGCGTACCTGCTCATCTACCGTCCGCTGGAGCTCGCCCTCTTGCAGTTCGCCGCCGCCAATGCCCGGAATGAGGAGCAGAAGTACGAGCTCCCCATATTCGTCGACCAGATCTGTATCAACCAGGAAGATGACGACGAGAAGGCGCACCAGGTCTCCCTGATGCAGGCCATCTACGCACACTCGCACCGCACCATTGTCTGGCTCGGCCCCGGCACCGCCTCCTCCAAGGCCTGGTTCGTCTACGTCCGGGCCCTCTGCGCCGACGGCGTCCTCGGCCGGCTGATGGGCCCGCGCGTCGCGAGCATCATGCGCATCTACGACGCCATCGCGCACCCGGGCTCAGTCGCCCTCACCGACCCCGTCGAGATCCAGGACCATGACGAGCTGCTGGCGTTGACGGAGCGCGTCGCCCTCCGGTATCCCATCGCCGCCTACCTGGCCCTGTTGCAGCGGACGTGGTTCGGTCGGCTGTGGACGATCCAGGAGGTCTGCCTCCCGCGCGATGTCCTTATGGTCTGCGGCGACCAGTCGCTCTGCTTTTTCTGCTTCCGCGTCGGCATGTTCTTCTACAACGTGCAAAACAGCTACTGGCTGCGGCAGAACACGGCGCCGGTGTCCAGGCAGGAACTGTGGATGCGCAACGCGGTGTTTGAGGCCACGGAAGGGCCGCGCCGGATCCACACGGAACGCAGGGCGATTCATGGGACCGTCGGCCCCGCGCCGCTGCACGAGATAACGATCAAGCACAGCCTGGTCAACGAGGCGGGGTGGAAGGTCGGCGCGTCGCTGGCGCAGGACCGCATCTACGGTCTCCTCGGCCTAACGGCGCCCACCGACCCTGCTAGAAATCGACTCGGCATCTACTACAACAACGAGAACCAGGAGGCGGCCCAGGTCAAGGCCTATACCGAAGCGATGTTGCTCTTCCTGGAACAAGGCCGCGCGGACATGTTGCTGTTTAATCAGTTCCCGAAAACGACGGCGGGACTTCCCTCGTGGGTGCCGGACTGGGCCATGAAACTGGCGCTGCCGGTGGCGTGGACGGCGTTGCACGAGCCCGCGTTTGCCGCTGGAGGCTCGCAAGCCGTTTCACCCGCCAAGGTTGACGCATCGACGGGAAGGGTTACTCTCACCGGGGTCTTGATCGGCCGCGTTGCCGCGATTGGTCGAGCAACGTATGACACCCATGACGGCCCGAACCTGAAGCAGATCAAGTACGACTCCGCCAAGCTCGTATTCGACGAGGTCGACGATTTTGTTCGCTCTACCTTGTCTCACAGCTCCTCCGCCACCGCGACGTCGCCCTCCCCCGAAACCGTTTCCCACATGAGCCTCCGCGTATACGACTCCGGCCTCAGCGCGTGCCACTTCGCCGCCCAGTGCGGCTCCTCCGACACCGGTATGCAGCGGCTCCTCGAGCTGCAGTCTTCCATCTTCGCTCTCGGCGCGCGGCTCCTCCGCAGTGCCGCCTTCGCGCGCTCCTACTCGCTGCGCCACATCTACGCCACCATTGGCATCACGCCCTGGTACGTCGACTACTACCACGCCACCACCATCCTACATGGCCTCGCCCGCGGGCCCGTCCCGCTCGCGCGCACCGTCGTCCTCGCCATCGCCGACCTCGTCGCAGACGTCGTCGGCGTCTGCGCCGCCTCGGCACGCGTCCGCCTGGCCACCACGTGGATCGCCCTCCGCGCCCGCTTCGCAAGGCCGCGGCTGCACGTGCCCGAAGCCGAGATGCGCAGCGTGGGGCTGGACCCGGACACGGTGACGGGGGCTGACATGGGCGCCTTCCTGGAGAACCTGCACCGCAACGTCGGACGGCGCGTGTTTCGGACAGACGGCGGGGCGGCGCCGCGTGTGGGCATGGGTCCGGGGACGATGCGCGCGGGGGACGCCGTCGTGGTGCTCAACGGCCTGACCGTGCCGATCATCCTAAGGCCTGTCGACGGGGGCAAAGGGGAGTGGACGGTCGTGGGCGAGGCGTATTGCGATGGAGTCATGAATGGCGAGGCCTTGGGTGTGAATGAGCGGGAATTTGTGCTGGTCTAGGGATCGGAGCCCTCATTTACGCGTCTTCTGTCCTGTATATCTGTAGCAAGCGAGCATTGAACGAGATAATGATGTGCAGGATTCTTTCCTGGTAAACTTGTCTCATTCTATCTAAAACTATTTACCGTGTGGCTTGCTTTGAATGTGCAAGCATGGAAGATCTTCAGCGTAAAGAATCGAATGTGCGTGGTTGTGTGCGCGTGTAAATTGAAAAAGAAAATAGTGGTATCTGGGTTAAATTATCCCGAATCTTTCCTCATCCCGAAATCTTTTCTCGTTGTCTCTCGTTCCCCCTGGTCCGTCCATTCATCCATCTACTCATTCTCATAGGTTGTGTATCGTACTATTTGTAACCCCCTCTCTCAAAAGGATAGATCAAAGAAAAAAAAAGCAGTGTCAGAAAAGCGACTAGGACTGCATAGAAGAAACGGAGTCAAAAGTCGGAGCTCCAAAGGGGTCGCAAGTATTGAACATGGCAGAGAAGGAAAAGAAAAAAACAAGAATTAATATGGCGAATTAACAATGTCGTCACGACCCAGCTTGTACTGGCCACTCAAGGGCGTGCCAATCTTATTTGCCGAAGAGCTCCTGTGGCCACCAGAGGAGACGCGGACATTACCAATGATGCTCTCGCGCGTAGGCTTGCGGAAGCTCTGCTTGGCTACCATGTTGACCTCGTTGGGCAAGGCGACAATGACATTCTTGTCGGAGCCAAACTTGAAATCGTCGGCCTTAACCTCGTCCTCGTAGCGCTTGATCTTGTACGGCGCCTTCATGCCGCGCAGGACACGCTTCAGGTTCCACTCGATGATGTACGGACCCGTGGCGGTAATGATGCTCGTCTCCTCCGCACCCTCGCCCGTGTTGAACTTGGCTGGGGTGAAGCTAATGGGTTTGCCCGTCTCGTGGTAGAATTGCGCCACGTGCTCGGGTGTAAGGGCTAGACGGCGAGGACGCGGTTTGGTGTCGGCCGAGAAGCCCTTTTCGAAACCCAGTTTGCCCTCATTCTTACCATCCTTTTGCATGGCATCAACAAGCAGGATGTAATTCTGGGTGGTGCCGAGAATCCAGCGGCCGTCGGCCGAGACATCCATGCCAGTGATGGGGTCACCGAGAGCGGGTAGTTGCGTCTTTGCACGGATGCCGAGGCGGTCAAACAGGCGAATATCACCCTTGTTGCTCGCGACAGCAATGTATCCCTTTTCTGTGGTGGCTAGAGAAGAAAAGTCGTTCTTGGAGGCGTACTGCTTCATGTCTGAGTCAACAAGCTTGCTGCCAGCTAGACGGGGGTCGACACGGAAGAGAGCGTTGTTGGAGACACCAAGGAAGGTCTGCTCCGAGGTCATCTGGGCAAACTTGTTTTCGGGGGCAAAGTTGATGACGGGGATATCATCGTGGACCTTCCACTCGTCAACAACTTTGCCGTATTCGATATCCATGCGGTAAAGCTTGTTGGGGTCGATATTGTTCTGGATGATGAGATCACGATCTTCGCCGTGAAGCATGACCTTTTTGGGGTTCATAAGCTTGCCACCAGGCGTGGTGACCTTGGAAATATTGGTGGAGAACTTGAGGCGGTTGTCGTTGGTATGGGAGAAGACGCCAATCTTGGAGCCGCGGACGACAAAGGAGCGGTCGTGCTTATAGCCAACGGCAAGTTGTGAGTTCATTTCGCGGTCGTCCTTTTCTTGTTCATCTTCTTCGTCTTCATCGCCACTGTCGTAGGCGTCGCTTCGGATGCCCTCCTCGTCAGCCTCGTCCTCCTCTTCCTCTTCCTCCTCTTCTTCTACAGGAGGAGCATCTTCCATGGTGAGATCGCCCATGGAATCGAGCACGTATTCACGCTCTTTTTCTTGAATCTTGGCCCATTTCGTCTCGTTGAGCCTCTCCCATATGGCCTGCATAACAGCCTCCTGGAACTTTTCCAATGTGGGCTGGTCTTTGAACCGCAGTAACCAGGACCGGGCGGTACCATCAGGGCTAAAATGGTTGAAGACGAAGGAAAGGAACTGGAAGTCGAAGACAGGACTAAAGTCAGAGACGACGAGGGTGCCCAACCAGGGCTTTTGACCCTCAATTTGGAGCCAGTATTCCCACTTGCCAACTTCGGAGACTGTGGCGACTACGGAGTCGTCAACCATGGCAAAGTGGCCGGGCTGGGGTTCATATACGTGCAGCTCGGCCGCAATGCTGGCGTAAATCTCCTTGGGCTTGGGCGGATTATTGGCATCGTAGACGGGACCGGTTGGCTTGCTCTCTTCGGGAATAGTAGCGGGTGAGATGGGGGCGGCAGCAGCAGCAGCAGGACGCTGCTTGGTGGGAGTTGTTGATGCCATGAACTCGGTAGAATCGATGGAGCGGGTGAGGGACGGGCTGTTTATGGGGCTTGCGGGTGGGATGGGGAGCTCCTCGTGAAACTCGAACTGCTGGAGGTCCTCGTCGGAGGCGGTGGTGTTGGGCTTGCGGTACTTGCGTTCGTACTGGCACTCTTGGGCGGCGCGGAGGAAGAGCTGGAGCTGGTTGGCAGGGAGGGCCGCGTCACAGACAAACTCGTAGACGTCGCCGGTGTCACCACTAAGATCGCGCCAGGCAATGACGCTATCGCCGCCGTCGCGGGTCTCTATGCGAAAATGCAGAGCCTCGTCTAGCAAAAAGGTCTTTTCGTCGCGCTCGCTGGCCAGGGCGTCAATCTCGGCGTCATCACCCTCTTCTTCGGCGAGCAGCTCCTCTTCACCCTCCTCAAAGGCACGCTGGACGACGAGCTGGTAATGGAAATCTTGATTTGTGCGACGGATGCGGATGGCGGCGTCCTTGAAGATGAGTTCCGAGTAGCCCTTGGGGGAGAGGGGGCGGACGAGGTAGAGCTGGCCTTGGGGTAGCTCTATGAGGGACTCCTGGGCGCTGGAGCCGAAGATCAGCTTGCCGACTGGAAAAATTAGTAGTTGAGCGTTATTGGCTTCGTGAGGAAAAGAGGACAAGATGTTGGTTGATGAAGGAGGGGAAAACGCAGGGGAAGTCCTCAAGGTGGCAACAATCAACCCCGCCTAACACATTGGCATGTGAGGAGTGCATGCGTGGTGACCTTCGTTCCTGCGGCCGAGCAGGCGACCGCCCCCCGCCATCTCGGCCGCCGAAAAAAAAGCAAAATGAAGCGCATTAGAGGTAATAAGGTGTTGGATTCAAAGGACAACGATGGTGGACTTACCATTCCGCAGGACAAACATGGTGTCCGCTAAGGTCGAGGTGGGGTGAAGCCTTTGTTTTGTTTATCTGGTCGCTGCTGCGGAGAGATGGGCGACCAGGAACAGGCACGGCTGTTTTGACACAGATGTATGAGTATCGAGAGTATTTTGTCCGTTTTGAGCCAAATGGCGTCAGGAATCGCGTTCCTTTGTCGCAGCGACGCAGATATCTGGCGCAACTATGAAGGGAGAAGGAAGGCGAAGAAGGAAAAATGATTTGGTTGCTGGGAGGTACTAGTGTGATGAGGGGCGCCTAAAGCAAGCGGGGCAAGGGTCTGTGAGAGATTGACGCAACCTCGCTGAAGAGGAAAGAAAAGTAAGGGAAAAAAAAAAGAAAGGCAAGTGGTAATGCAATGAATTTATCAACTTCGATATCCCTGGGTCTTGTGGTTTGTCAAAGGAAAAAAGTGCCAACGGTTACTGATAGCTGAGCCAAGTTGTTCACCGCGTCGCTACAGGACAGCAAACTTACGACCCATTTGCCACACAAACTAACTTGCAGCAAGGCTGAGTCAAACAAACTCCCAGTACCCCAAGGAAATTTAATTAGTACTAACGTACGTGGGTTACTTGGTTGCCTCCATTCATGAAACTGGCATGTGACAGTCGCTTACACAGTCATTATATTATCAGCCCTATGAACCCTTATTCAATTAGCAGCGCAACCTACCTTTGCCTTTGCCACCTGCCTAATCAATTACTACCTACATTGCTTTGCTGCCTAGAACCCAGGCAGCCAAGCCCCTAGCATGCCGAGCCTTCTTACTAATGTATATCGTACGCACTGCTGTTTGATTCCTTGTCTGTTGTTGATTGACGGGGGCTAACCGCTAACTACTACCAAAGCTGGCGCCAGCATTGAAAATGACGTAATCCCTCTACACGACCAACAAGCTGTTGAGCAACAGATGAGCGTCCTACCGAAACCATTGTATGGGCAGAAATATCGTACATAACTACAATCAATCATTTATTTTCTTCATTTTCCTGTGCCCGGTCTCATCAAAAAATACTCAGCAACAAAGGAGACGCTGCTCATGTCGCCAGGTAAACTGGCATCTATCGCTATTCCGCTGACCTAGGTAGAAACGTATGTACTAAACTTCAGGCGCTACCCGATATGCATCTATGCGTTGAACTTGATTTATTTTCAGCACTGAAAACGCCGCTGCTATACCAACGATGGCAAAGAAGAATCCACCGGCCAAGCGTGCGGTTAAGCCGGTGGCAGCGAAGTCATGACGATTAAGTCAGGATTGCGTTACACAGTTTGGCGGTCCCAGGAGGATATAGACGAGGACTGGCGCGCTCCCGAGACTACAGGGACCTCGGTAGATTTGGTTGCGAGGGAGAAATAGAAGGTGGGGTTCATGAATTAAAAGGGTACCAAGAAAGGGTCGTTGATCTTGGTTGGCTTATTACAAATACATTTGCGTGGAGGGCGAATGTGCAGCCGCCAGTATCACAGAGGCAGCATCAGCTTCGGCTTAGCACCGACGCCGGGTACAATACGGAGTAGAAAACGGCCAAATTGTCCAACTCGTGCCAACAAATTCTTTGGAATGTCATCGAATGGTTCTGTGGAGCTATTCAAAAGTGCATGATACCGTGATACCCTCCCTGATCGGCGGTGTGTGGTGGGGGCATGTCGTCAGAAGCGCCAGGTTGGTATAAACTTGGAAGGACAACAGGCGAGCAGTCGGCTTTCTAAATTTCGATGGCGATAGCAATGATGGTAACCGTTTGACGCAAGGTACACGAAAGTAATTTTATACTAAAATCCTGTCGAGTCTCGATTAAAGAAGCGCTCGCAGCGAAAGTGCTAGCTTCGACCCAGCTGACGACAAGACGAAGGATATTTACCTTCGCCCATTGGCAGTCAATGATAGCAAGACTTGGCTCTAGCAAGCAAAAAAGTGAACACGATAGACAAGTAGGGCATGTGCAATGTTTGGGGGCAGTGTCTACTTGGCTCGGCGCAAAAAGTGCATAATTGCGTCGCGCGCCCACTGTACTTTGCCCCTCGATCCACGCAACAGAGGGAAGCTTGGAGATCGAGGTTTTGGTCAAGGACCCTGAGTGGGGTGATGTTTTCCTCTGGAACTTGTGATGGTGTGGCTGGAGAGAGGGGGTGGCTTTAGCGTGGCTGGTGCTTGATCTTGGACGTGAAGGAAGTGAAGTGAAGTGTGATCTGAAAAAGGATTACGGCAGGGAATAAGAAAAATTAAACATGCTTCAAAAAATTGCGAGTCATCGCTCTTCAAAAATTTGCGAGTCGTCGCTTTTCAAACAAGACACATGGAAATCCTGCCTCTTCCCCGTCTGCGTGCTGAAAGAACCTTGCTTTGTTCATCTGAGGCCAACCGCGATGACCAGCCAAAGGCCCGATCCAAGGCTCACTCCAGACACCACCCGCCCGTCAAATGAAAGGCAGGTAAAAAACTGCGAGTTTTCTGGTGACGCCACTAATGATGAACCGGGCCCGGAGCTTACTATAGATACCCTGAATACATTAATCAGAGGTAGTTATTGGCATCGCGACACTGAGCGGGTGTGCCGCCAGCTCTCCTGGAAGGGTTCCTGTCGACAGAGTTGAGAAAACTGACAGATTGGTAGCAGATGAGCAGATGACTCTTCTCATGCAGCTATAATGGTGCGTCGCATAACGCAGCTGTCATTTTTTGACTTGCATATCTTACCTGTCGCTGCTATCACAATCGCTGCTATCACAATCGCTGCTATCACAATCGCTGCTATCATAATCGCTGCTATCATAACCGCAACACCTTGCAATTACCACAACGCCGTGTAGGGGGGTATCAGGCATAGTATCTTCGAATCCCATCGGCACTGTGCATCGCGGGAGTTCTACGTAAAATTCTGTGCCCAGCCTACCACACCGACCACACCTTGACTGTCCTCTAGCACAGTGCCGACAAGCCGTTGCTGGGAGGCGGGGACTCTGTGTCTTGTCCTGAGGGCGTGCCCGTAGCGTCTCGATGCACAAGCAGCCGCTAGCCCACAGCTCTGCCGGGACTTCTAGCAGCCGACGACAATCTTGGACGAGGCCCAACCCGCTGTCTGGAATCCCTTTTCAGTTGGTTATGTAGGGGGAACCGAATAAAGACAGTGAGTAGGCAATTCTGTGCGGTGGCCAATGCAATGTTGACACACAATATACTCGCCAAAATTGGACTCCCTTTTTAAGTTCTCCAGCGCCTGAACTTCAGTGCCACTCCTCCCCATCCAGTAGTCGCCTGTCGCCCACCACCGGAGACTCCACCGCTGAACCACCCAAAGTCTCCAGCTCCAATTGTACCTTGTCTTCTCTGGCTGCCCTGCCTCGTCCTGTGTATTGATACACGCTATTTCCGTTTTCTACCTCTTTAGGTTTATTACTTCATAGGTGCACCCTGTCACCACCCAAGTGCCACCACCGCCAGGGCCCTAGAGGGTCTCGATTGCGCTTTTGTTTGGCCACACACCTGTTGACCACCCGCCAGTGGTGGGTCCCACCGAGCCTGCCCTCTTAACGACTTCTTGGACGGAGGCGTTTCCTCGACTCAGTTCTGGACTTCCTCCTCTCTTTTTCTCCTCCATCTTCACAGTCCAGATTCCAAGACGATACCGCGCGACCGAACTTTGTCTTCCCGACTCTCCAACATTTTTCTACGCCGTCGAATGCGAGACTGACAACGTTTGCTCTCAACTGCACACAACGGCGCTCTGCCAACCGACAACGCTTTAGCCCATGACCGACCAGCCCGCCCGCCGCCAGCAATTCGCCAACTACCACTTTGGCCAGCTACGCCGACAGTTTTTACCTGTCGCTTGACAACAACAAAATTATTGCATCGTCACCTCTTTGCAGCTGGGGGTTTACACATTTACTTTTATCGCGCCGCAGCCGCCCAATTTTCGATACGAGATTCATTTTCCTGTGCAATCTCCTTCTGCTTGGCTAAAATTATTCGCCGCTCGCACGCAGCACCCTCGTCGCGCCTCTCTTACACTAGTGCTGTTGTGCACCTGCCGACGGATAGAACCAGCTGACGCTTTACGACTACTTTGCATCGATTCCTACGAGCCTTGTGACTTGCGACGAATACACGACCGGCTACTTATAACGACCAAGAGAATTCGAGAGATCAAATCCGCGCCCAGCAGCCGACGAAGGTTTATTGAACCTCGATCCGACAACAGAAGTTTCCATCTATTCTGTCGCATCCACTGCCTACAATTTCTCTCAATATATCAAGCAAGGCCAGAGAAAGGAATTCTGGGGGGTTTTTTTTTTTGACGATGTGAGTCAATTTCTCCTACAAACCTCGCCATGCCATGCGCTCTGCGCACTCTCACCAACACCAGAGCGATCGCGATCCCTTCAACCATTTGTCCAATCACGTCGCCATCACTACCACTTCGATCCACTTTATCCTGCCGCACCCCGGTACAGCAATTTTGTCCCGCAAGCTAACAAGCGTTTTACCCATTTATACAGTGTTATCGCTCTAAAGGAACGGACCCAGCTCCGCCGCTGACGACCGCCTACGTCACCAGGCCTCGCACCTTGGTCTGGACCCTTGCCTTACGCTCAGTGGTTCGTGCGTGCGCTCCATTCCAGGGTTTCCATCACGATCCACGCCAGAATCGAACCATGTTCAAGCCCTGTTCGACTTTTGCCCTGCGTTGAATCATCTTCGGATGCCATAAAAGATAATGCAAAAATCGAAAACCGGCCCGGACAGGGCCGTTGCGCCGACTTCGAAATCAAATCCCCGCCGGGCCTCGCCCAACAACTCACTCACTCTGCAGAATCACGGCCTAGCCCGCGATGCCTCGCTCCGTGCCAGCCCGGGTTCCGCACCTTCCATTACAAGCGCTGTCGCGTCCTCACCGCGCCGAAACTCATCGGGCGACAGCCATGAAACTGGACACAGTGACGCAAAGAAATGGTTTGATCGCTCAAATCAAAACCCAACAGCAACATTCGACTCCAATGTAATGGATGGTAAGTTTACTCAATTGCAGCAAGAAAGAAAAAGAAAAGCATCTGGTTTTCTGAACTCCCTCGGCTGACTTGACTGTGCTCATTATTAGTCGACCCTCCATTCTTTCAAAAGAGTTCTGGATCATCCACTGAAGACAGAGTTGGCTACAAGGGCTTGGTTATACCTACAATTCTTCAACCACAACAACAAGAAACTCAAAGCAGCAGTGCCGACGACTACCGTAGCGTCATTGATGATTTAACAGTCGAGATCCAAAAGCTCAAGGATGAGCTGAAACGATACAAGCAACGTGGACCTGATACGCTACGTAAGGAGCAGCTCTTCGAGATCAAGTTCCACGGCCTGCCCAAGCGCAAGAAGCGCGAACTGGAGGCAACGCTTCGGGAGTTCGCTGCCAACTTGGAAAACTCTCCTACCGTCTCATCATCACAGCAGAAGAAGTCATCGCACAACAAGCTACATTCTGGCTCCGGCTCCAAGCATGCCTCTTCCTCCTCAGGCTCCAATCTTCGCCAAATCGACTCGGCCTATGCCTCCATGTCAACGGGCGCGAATTCCTCGGGCGTATCAATTGGACGTCACACCAGCAACCAGACAGGCATCAGATCATCTGAACAAAAGGTGGAGAGCTATCTTCGAGACATTCCCGAGGGCCTCTACCCCAAGCATGTTGCCATGACAGACAAGGATAGAAAGAAGGTCGTTGTTCGCCGACTCGAGCATCTCTTTACTGGAAAGATTAATGGACGCCAAGTTCGCCGGCAACTGCCTCTGCATACAATGCTTCAACATCCTCAAATCTCTGCGTCATTGGCCCCACCCCCTGCTCCCATACTCACACCGGAAGCCGTACAGGTTGCTCAAGCTCCTGCAAAAATCCAGCAGACGACTGGTAAGGCTGAGCCTTCCCGTGAGGCGCGCATTCTCCCACCAGGAAGCTCGAATAAAAAGAGCCAATCCCGAGATAATGGTTCTGCCTCAAACTCGAATGGAGATCAGACGGAAACCACAGGCAATGGCAACGGCAGCGGTAACAACGCCTCCCCGCCAGAACCATCACCCCCGGAGCAACGACCAACCCGGCCAAACGACCTAGATCCTGACCGCGCTCAAATTCCTGCTGAAAACATGGAATATATTCGACACTTGGGATTGGTCGCACCCGAATTACTACCTGATGCTACGCACGAGGCTCCGGACGTTTCCCCTGACGCCGAGGGCTGGGTGTATTTGAACTTGCTCTGCAATCTGGCGCAGCTGCACATGATCAATGTTACTCCTGACTTTGTTCGTGCTGCCGTTTCAGAGATCAGTACTAAGTTCCAGCTTTCGCCTGATGGTCGCAAGATCCGATGGCGTGGTGGCTCAGAGGGGACGAAGCTTACGAGCGACAGCTCTGCCGACAGCTCTCAGAAAAGCGACCGTTGGAGTGGCGGTGGCTCCAAGGAAGCGAAAAAGTCGAAGCGCAAGCGACAGAAGACCGGACACTCTACTGGTGACTCTGGTAGTTCTAGCAAGGACACGTCGAAGTTTGGCCCAGCTACATCGTCGGACAGCTTCCATTATAAGCCTCTCTTTGTTCGACAAGACTCCCCAAACGGTATTGCCTCGTTTGACGATACTTTGTCATCATTTGGTCCGGTTGAAGATAGCAACTTGGGTGAATCACGATACAATATGAGTGGCTCCGGCTCATGGAATCGAAAGAAGCGTCGCCGTGACGGTGCTGTTATTTACTATAGCGGTGCGCCTTTCTGCACTGATCTGTCGGGCGACCCTGGTGATACTTCGCCAGCCACGTACATGATGTCTAGCGGACAGGACGCGACGGAAAGCTCGACGCAAGCGCACCGGCCCTTGTTGTACCGATCTCCATCGGGGTCAAATATTGGCATCCGACCGCTCAGCCACCCAATTCCCCTTGCTTCCACGGATGTACCCATGAAGACCGACGACGACGAGGACCCACCTGGGTTCGCCACGGACTCGGGCGAGGAGACCAGCGACGCCGACATGGATTTTGGCTGGTCTGACGAGGCTCAGTACCTTGAGGTACATCCGCTCGAGCCTTGTGGACTAGGCGGTGTACTGCCAGACGATCACTTTATGGTGGTTGTGACTACAAAGAGGCCAAAGGTGGACGCGCCAGGAGCGACAAAGAAGTATGACGTAGGAAACTGGTCAGAAGCCACTGACAATATCATTGTCAGACTAGCCTCCATGTCGACGTCGTCGCCGGTGCCACCGCAGTCACGATTTCCGTCGCGATCCAGCTCACCTGGCGTGGAAATCGAATACACTTCAGGCCGGATCAAGAGACTGGCACCTGTGCCGCTACCACCTCCGGTGATTTTCTTCCCGCCGTTCAGCAGTGACGACTCGTACTCGTACGGTGATTTGTCAGACTCGGAGCAGCAGTCACAATCGATGCCGTTGATCTCGGAGGGTCTTGCGAGCCGGCGATGCCTGGAGCAATCGGACGACTATCCGGATGGTGTGGATCTGAGCAGCGGCGATGAGGAGGGCGACGACCCCGACGATGAATCTGGAGCGGAAAGGATGTATGACCGATCGCCTAGCGATCAAGTACCCGACATGATTCCGCGGGACCGAATCCCGCGACACTCGATTGGGAGTTCGGTGGCTGCCGCGGGGACGCCGAGAGGGCGGACCAAGAGTGCGTCCAGCAGCGACGACGAAGAGGAGTGAGCACTGGTCGGAGAGTGGAAGGGAGAGAGGTGGTGATGGAGGAGCATGAACGGGGAGATTTAGTCTTGAGCGATTGCGAGTTGCGAGTTGGGGCTTGTGTATAAGAAATCCGAGTGCTGAGAAGAAGGGAATGGCAGCCGAGTTGGCATGCGGAAGCTGTCGACAATGTTGATTTGGACGTGCTTTTTTTATTATTTTGGGAACCTAGCAAGGAGTTTACTGGGCGCATTTTGACGATTGGGTTTTTGTCCTGGACCGGATTGCAGTCCTCCTTTTTTTCTGATGATTCCCCCGACGGCGTGCCTTCAAGACCCGTCAAGCAAGCAATGGTTGTATTGTTAGGGCAAAGGAGAAGGAAGGAGGAAGTTGATGAGATGATGCACAGAGACTGGATAGCTTTGTCTTGGGCAGGGCAAGTTGTGCCTGCCTGCTACGGGGGAGAAAGGATAACTTGTGCGAATGAGATACAATAGATTTGTAATTTGAAAAGCATAGTTTTGTGATCATTCAGTCCTTCCATGTATCTGCATCGTGCTGGCCTTATCCCCGTAGCCAAGACTAGTGTTGAACCATTAATAACATAGATCCTCACGTGGCTAGATCATCACGTGGAACATGTCACCATCATGAGGGCACTTTTGAATCTTGAACAAACGCTGGCAGACAATTTTATTAGTTCCTCCTAAAGCTTCTTCAGCGACGATGAATTAAGGACTCAACCAACAAACAGCCCATCTTCGAGCTCTCCTGGATACCAAACCACCATCGACATGTAATCGTCCCAAACAGATTTCATGTGCATCTCTGGTTTCCTGGTTTGTGACTGCTTGATGGAATGCACCTGATGCAGGCGTCTTTCGAAGAGACAATCCGTTGTTGTTTCGGTTCCGTCCTCGATGTCGACCGTAATGACCGCAAGCGAGTTAGCTGCACTATGGCTTGCTTATTTGTTAGTCAACAAGCTGAGTTCTCTTTCTTCTTGTATTTTTCTTCTCACATTCATGTCCTGGTTGCCAAGTTTTCTTCTCGATGAGCTCACGTCTTGAGTTGTTGCAGTAGTTCTGCAGCGAGCCTCTCCTGTGGAAGAATAATACACGACTTTTTGAAAGCGACCTCCGCACCAAGGACATGTTTCATCTTGCCGTCGGCCGCCCCCATCCCCGGTCAATCCCCCACACGGGCCTGTCCATAAAAATCACCGGGCCTTGTTTTAGTAATTATTAGGTAGTGGGTGTTTGTACTATTGGTAGTTGCCTGAACCAGTTTGGCCTGTGCCTTGTCAGTGAGTGAGTGGGGCTTCAAGACTCGAAACTCTCGTTTCCATCCACCACAAACATCCACCACAAACATCATCATCACCCTCTTCACGGGCCCGTCTGTTTTATTACGACTCTTCTTCGCCATGCAACCGCCGCACCCCACTGTCGTCCTCTTATTATTCCTTTGACAAGACACGGCCCCTTCACCCATCATTCTCTCCCCCCTCTCTCCTTCCTCTTTCCCCTCCGTCATCCCACATTTCTGCAATCCAGTCATGATCGCCTCGTTAACCTACTACCTTCTGGTCGTCGCCAGCCTCACGAGTGTGCTCGGTGTCGCGCCGTCGCGCAGGGACGATGATTCCAAACCCATCCGAAACGTGGCTATTATAGGTACGTTCAATCGAACACCCCATGTCTGTATCTATCTGCGAATATGCATCTCGCAACACGCCAACATGGTCATGTCGTCCAGCATGTGATGCATGCAGCCTTCTTACTCACAGCCTACCTACTGCCTACCATATCGACCAATCCCTACAAACCCCAACAAACGCCCAAGGCGGCATCACTAACATTCATTCCGCATCCCAGGAGCTGGAGCTGCCGGCGCATCCGCCGCTTACCATCTCAGCCAATACGCCCGTGACGAGAACCTTCCCGTCAACATCACCATATTCGAAAAGACACCCCGCGTCGGCGGTCGCACCCTCACCGTTCACGCCTACGATGACCCAACCTCTGGCGAGCAACCCGTCGAGCTTGGCGCCTCCATCTTCGTTACTGCCAACCGCATCATGCACGACGCCGCCCTAGCCTTTAACCTGACGCTCCAAGATCCCATGCCCTCTCGCAAGGGCGACCTGACCATCATCTGGGACGGCGCCTCCGTCGTCTTCGAGTCCACCGAGGATGGCAGCTCCTGGTGGTGGGAAGCCGCCCGCCTATGGTGGCGCTACGGCATGAGCCCCTATCGCGCCGTCAACCTCATCAAGACGGTCGTTGCAACCTTCCTCAAGCTCTACGATCCGCCCTACTTCCCCTTTCGCTCCCTTACCCAGCGCGCCTACGAGCTCGGCCTCGAACGCGTCACCGGCGTCACCGGCGCCCAGTTCCTCGCCGACGCCGGGGTCAACCACGACTTTTGCCGCCACATCCTTCAGCCCGCCACCCGCGTCAATTACGCCTCCAACCTCGCCCACATCCACGGCCTCGAGACCATGGTCTCCTTCGCCACCGACGGCGCGGTCGCCGTCCGCGGCGGTAACTGGCAGATATTCGACAAGATGATTGAGGCAAGCGGTGCCACAATATACCGCAACGCCACCGTCCGGGCCATCAACTTCAAACCCGAAGGCCCCAACAGCGTAGCGCGTGCCCTGAAAAAATACGACATCTCGGTCGCGGGCGACGATGCGGTCCGGGCCGCCTTTGACGACATCATCATCGCCACGCCCTGGCAGTACAGTAACATCTCTGCCGGCCGAGGTATCATCACACACAAGATTGACGAGATCCCTTACAAGGAGCTGCACGTGGTCCTGTTCACGTCGCCGTACCAGCTGCGCACCGACCTGTTTGGGCTGCCGCGTGGGGGCACGCCGCCCTCAAACGTCTACACCACGCTCAAAGACGGCGTCGAGGCGGACCCGGACAACGTCGTCGGTGAGACGGGCTTCTTGTCGCTGAGCACACTGCGCACTCTGGTGAACCCGGTGACAGGGCAGACCGAGTATCTGTACAAGCTCTTTTCGCCCGAGGAGGTGGCGCCCGCGCGCCTGGACGGCTTCTTTGATAGCGACTGGAAAGACAAGCAGGAGGTGTCCGATGAGCACAAATCTGATGGCGACAGCGGCCCTAAGGAGCCGGCCAAGGTGACATGGTACCGCATGCAGACTTTCAATCCGTACCCGGTCGAACTCCCGCGCGTGACGTTTCAAGACCCCGTCGTGGGCAATGGCGTCTACTACACGTCGGGTATTGAGAGCTTCATCTCCACCATGGAGACGAGCGCACTCATGGGTAAGAACGTCGCGCGCCTACTGGCCGACGACGTGGCTGGCAACGCGGGCACCGGCGGCGCGTACGTCGCGCCGTACCGGCCGTCGCCGAACCACCCGCAACGGGAGGACTTTTTCCAGAGCATGGAGAATGATTTGGATGATATGATGATGATGGATGAGCTGTAGGGTGATACAGGGAATCCGTTTCTTGTTTTTTCTCACTTTTCTTTCAATTTCTCAAAACTGGGTTAACCGTGGTTGAGTAATGGATCAGGTTTGGAGTATAGCGAGCTCTCTTTTTTTAAATTTCTTTTTTGATATCTTGATCTCTTTTACATTTTCTTGGTTTGCAGCTGAGCGATAGAATCCCTCCACCAAATCTTTCTGCGGTCTGATCTACTCATTGATACGCCATTAAATATACACTCCTTATGACCTCTGCTCCACTCGATATCTGAACCACCGAGACATGACCGATCCATACTTCGCCTTGGGGAATGAACAACGATATCCTCACCCAAGCCTTGGTTCATTCATCTCGGGTTGTTGCCGCCGAGCCTTCCCACATCGACGATGCCGTCCGATCCCCGCTCCCCTCATCATGCAGGCAGGCAAAGAATCAGGCGGGCAAGCTGCAGTTCAGACCGAGGTGGTGTGGAACGTATTGTCAAGGTGGCGTGAGGGGGAATGCTCCTGGATTTGTAACCCCGATTACATGCACGTGGAGAAATATTGGCCGATCGTCTCAGGAATTGGGGAATAACGGACAAATATTGCAGGTAGAGTGGTCGCACTGACTTGAGGCGGAGATGACAAGGACGAAGGCATATTTGGCAATCAGGACAGAATAAATACATCATCTTTAGCCTACAGCTTGAAGAAACCAAGCATAAGAATCTACACTGCTCCCTTCCACTTCCATCACCATGCTCCCCAACTTCCTCGTCGCTCTCTTGGCCCTCACTCCCGCCGCCGCCGCAGCCGCCGCCGCCTCCGGCCCCGACTTCCGCACCCGCACCCGCGCCCTCGGCACCTTCGGCGTCCAGCGCCTCCGGCAAGTCTGCGGCCAGCCCGGCTGCTACACCGACCTCTTCGTCAACGGCAAGACCGACTACATCCCCGGCGCGTGGTCCTTTGACGCCCACTGCCAGATCCGCGACGATGGCGCGTGGACGGCGTGCGACAGCCAGGTGCCGTACACGCCGCCGGGCCGCCTCTTCGTCAAGATGGACGCGTGGAACAAGGCCTCCCAGACGTACACGCTCTGGTTCTCGGCGCAGTACAACGAGGGTGATCGGGTGGTGAACGCGACGGCGCGCATGGAGGTGGAGAGGCCGGTCGGCTGGGACGTGTCCCAGTGCAGGCAGATGGATGTTGTTTCGAAGGAATACATTTGAGAAAGATCACAAGTTCCATCTTCAATGTCGCCAAGGAGCTCCCAGTATTCACATTGAATACTGCATTTTTGCACTTTCTCTAAGCTTATAGTTTCTCTATAGCTATGTCTATCAATTCATTCTATGCCATATCAACTTTTCCATGTTCTGTTTGCAATGCACCTCACCACGCCCGACTCCCCGCTCACCCAACAATCAACAATCACAATCATTCATCAATTTCATTCCGTTTATCATCACATTTAATCAGCGCTGCGCTTCAGGTCCTTATCCAGAAGAGACTCGCCAGTCATGTCCTCCGGCTGCGGCAGGCCCATGGCCGCGAGAATGGTCGGCGCGACATCGCCGAGGACGCCGCCGCTCTTGCGCAGGCTCCAGCCCTCGGGGGCGTTGGCCATCAGGAGTGGCACCTTGTTGGTGGTGTGGCTGGTCTTGGGCTTGCCGTCGGCGAACTTCATCTCCTCGGCGTTGCCGTGGTCGGCGGTGATGAAGAGGATGTAGCCGTTCTTCTTGCATCCTTCGAGGATCTTGCCGATGCCCTTGTCGGTAGCCTCGCAGCCGACGATGGCAGCATCGTAGACACCGGTATGACCGACCATGTCGGGGGGCGCAAAGTTGTTCATCACAAAGGGGAAGCGATCTTCGCCCAAGCGCTTGACGACCTGGTCGGCAACGCCATCGGCGGACATCTCGGGGGCGAGGTCGTAGGTGGCAACGGACTTGTTGGAGGGAACCAGGTCCTGGTTCTGGTCGCGCTCCTCGAGAGGGAAGACCTTTTCAACACCGCCGTTGAAGAAGAAGGTAACGTGAGCATACTTTTCCGTCTCAGCAATGTGGACCTGCTCAACATTTTGCTTGCCAAGCCACTCGGCCAGGACATTGTCCATGCGCTGGGGCTCAAATGCGACATCGAAGGGGTAGTCGGTCTTGTACATGGTCATGGTGACGAGCTCCTTGATCTTGGGGTAGGCGAAATCGGGAAGCACCGATCGGTCAACGTCGCCGAGAAGCTGGGTAATCTGGCGAGCTCGGTCGGATCGGTAGTTGAAGAAAAAGACAGTGTCGTCGTCTATGACAGATCAGCTTGGGTCGTGCGCGCTGCCTCAGAGTTACATACCCTTGATGCGGCCGTTATCACCACCAACAATGATGGGTGTGAGGAATTCATCCTTGTCCTTGGAGCCGCCCTTCTCGTAGCGTGCCTTGAGGGTAGCGACGGGGTCCTCGCTCTCCTCACCCTCACCAAGGCACATACCCTTGAGGGCGACCTCGACACGCTCCCAGCGCTTGTCACGATCCATGGCATAGTAACGGCCAACAACGGTGGCAATCTGACCAATGCCAACCTCCTTCAGATAGTCTACGAGCTCCTTCATGTAGCCAGCGCCGGACTTGGGATCGGTATCACGGCCATCACCGAAGAAGTGAATGAACACCTCCTTGACCTCGTACTTCTTGGCGGCTCTCAGGAGAGCGTACAGATGGGTCTGCTTGGAGTGCTGTGCATTTATGTTAGCACACTACACAGGAAACAACATTTGCACCGGCCCTCCAACTTACAACACCGCCGTGGGACACAAGGCCGCAAAGATGCAGGCGGCCATTGCCCTTGGCAGCGCCCTCGAAGGTCTTCTTGATGACGGGGTTGTTGCTGAGCTCGTCCTTCTTGATTGTTTGATCGATGCGTACGACGTCCTGCCAGACGACGCGACCGGCGCCAATGTTGAGATGGCCGACCTCGGAGTTGCCCATGAGGCCCTCGGGCAGGCCGACGGCCAGCGACGAGGCCTCGAGCTCGGTGTAGCCGGTAGCGCTCTTGTAGAGCTCGTCCATGACCGGGGTCTTGGCGTTGGTGATGGCGTCGCCATCCTTGGGGCTCTCCTCGGAGGGGATGCCCCAACCGTCAATGACGACTGTTTGCGCGGAGAAGGAACATGATTAGCCAGGCGAGTTCAGTGTAGATGAGGACGTAGCAGCCCAGGAGCACCACATCCACCCGTGGCTTGGTGGCCACGCGGGACGACCCGGCCGGCGGACCTGTCATGGCGGGCATGGACTTGGAGCGCGGGAGAGGTGATGATGAGCCAGCCATTTCTTGACCCGATGTCGCCCCCCCGAGTGGTTGTAGTGTTGATGATGCCGGTTCGTCGCGATGGTGACGATGGCGGGGCAACGTGTTGGAATGGAGGGGCTGCTCGAGAAGGGAGAGGACGTACTCAGACAAGCCTTTTGCTCTGTCTTGACGGGAGCAGACATGTTGAACAGCGGCGGATATAGGAAGTTCTAGGAGAAAAAATAGCAACGGAGAGAGGCTATTTGGAGGAATTGGTTCGGGGGAGGGAAAGAAAACTCGTTGGGTACTAACTAAGCAATTGGAGAATCTTATCTGCGTGATTTCAATGCATCCATCGGCTTATCGCTGTAGCCAAGCTCCGCCTGTAACTGCGCTGTAACGACTTGGCGCTACCGGGGGCGCTGAAATATCGTCTACAGTGGCTGCGTCATGGTGGAGGGGGTACTGTGCTACATGCTACGCCACACTGTATTGAAACATTGCTGTTGGAGAGTTAGGAATAGAATTACATGAGCTGCTATACGTCTTGTCGAAGGGTTATTTGTTGCATAAGTCTGCCTCTAGGGCTTCTATTTTAACCCTATATCTGGCATAGTCTTACCGACTTGCTTTACCGTCCGTCGCAGCTTGTACTGTTACACGAATCAGTCAGCACTGTACGACAACCCTCAGCTTTTGAGGTACAGCCACTCCATTGCAGCTCCCTCCATCCTCAAACCACAAACAAACACGCCCCAGAAACCATGGCCTTCGACCGGCAGTCCCTCGCCCTCCCGCCGACCCTCTCCCCCGACGCCCTCGACGCCCTGTCCGAGCTGGCCATCGTGCTCGCCAAGGTGCGCACCGGCATCCAGTCCTCGGCGGGCCTGGCCACGACCGGCGCGACCCCCGGCGGTGCTGCCGCCGCGGCCGGCCAGCCCCTCTCCTTCAAGGACGTCCCCGGCGCGACCGACGCCCTCAAGCACAAGCTGCAGCACGCGCGCGCCCAGGTCCTTGCCCTGCCCGACATGGACCGCGAGCTCGTGGAGCAGCGCCGCGAGGTGGCTGAGCTCGAGGCGCGCATCGTCACCCAGCGCGCGCTGCTGGAGCGCCTGCGCGACGACGGCCTGCGCTTCGGCAAGGACGGCGACAAGATGGACTTGTGAGGATGGGAAAGAAGGAAGAAGGCGCGCTGCAAAGTGCAGTGCGTCGGAACTCTTTGTCGAATTATACTTGTTTTGTTTTCTTCTGCATGGCATTGGCGTTATGGAGGGAAGCCCGGGAAGCGATAATAAAGGCTGCAAAAGGAAAGATTGTGTTTTAGGGAGCTTGGCAAGCTTAGATTACGGAAAACTTGGTACAAGGTTATAAAGCACACATTCCTCATGCTATCCCAAAGAACGAGTTTATCTTGGTGAAATGCCAACCTTGGCCAGAGTCTCGTCGACACTCGCGCCAGGCCGCCCCGGTACAACCTTTGTCCAGATTTTGTCACTCAAAATCTGCGCCTCGCCCAAAGTCGTCCAATTGGGACTGTGGCCCGCCTTGAGCCACTTGAAGTCGTCCACCTGGTTCCATTGGTTTTCCACGGCCTTGTCCGCCTCAGTCATCTAGCCAAGTTTGTCAGTGACATCAAATCCGCAAGACCGTAGCTTCACCACATCTCAGGACAGGAAAACAAAAACTCACGTAGCATGAAGGCAGGGGCGCGAACCGCATCCCCGAGCAGTCCTCGATGATCGGGTGGCTTGTGCAGTGCAGGTAAATGTCCACGTTCCTGCAGTCGTGGATGCGCACCTGGTGCGCCACCAGCACCAGGATGCTGTCGCTGATGCCCGTGACGTGTACGGGCCCCGCGACGCGCCCGGCCACGATCAGGCTCTTGCGGATGTCGCGCAGCGCCAGCCCCGGGAACGCATGCCCGCGCGACGTCGGTATCGACATGTCCACCACGCAGCCCGCCAGGTCCGTCAGGCTGCCCGACGCCGTGGCCATGGCCGCCGACGGCGGCAGGATGATGTGCAGGCCCGACTGGTGCGAGATGCCAATCGTCCGCGCCGCCGAGAAGCTGGGCTTGCGGATGGCGGACGCGCTCGGCCGCGACAGCTCCGCGTTGTAGTCGCGCTCGGACAAAGGCGGCGGTAGCTCCTTGAGCTCGTCATCGGCCTCTTCGCCGAGCCGTTGCGGCATGCCGGGCGGCGCGGAGGGCTGGTGCTGATTCCGCGAGTAGCTGCCGGAGAGCAGGCGCGGGTCGTTCTCCGGCGCGCCCATGTCGACGTGCTTGGCCGTGCGCTTGAACTGGAATCGAGACTTGGGCGCCAGCGCCGCGGTGGTGTCGCTGAGCTTCTCTTGAAGTCCTTTTACAGTCTGAAGTGCTGGGCGTTAGAACTGACTGTGTGCAGTTGGTGAACAAGTATCAGGCCGGGGTTGTACCTCTGAATATTGTTTCCGGTCATATGCCGGGGTGGTGTCGGCGACGTCAGCCACTTCATTCTGAAGCTTCGAGATGCCAGCAAGAATGTGATCGATGGCTTCCTGACGCTCCCCGGCCACCGTCGAGATGGACTTTAACTCCTCAATCTGGTCCTGAAGTACTACGTGACGGTGGCCAATTAGCGTACGACCCGACGTGTTTGGCCAGGTGAAGGGAGACTCACCCGCAACATGGTCTAGGAAAGACCTGTGGAAGCGCTGCTTGGGATCTGTACCGGATGACATGGCGAAAGATGAATATGCCTTGTTCATATGAGTGTGTCACAGAAAATTGCGCTTAGATGGAAGAACCGATTCAACAAAGGTGCCTTGCGCTTTGGATTCGCTCGTGTTAGCAGAAGGGTGGCGCCAGATGCCAGTTTGCGTGTGCAGTCTCTCACATAGACTACCGCGATTCGAAAGAGCACGTAGATCGGAAATGTGCTGCAGAGTAAATAAAAAATCAAAGAATTTGATGAAATTGCCACAGTAGCTTTGGAAAAGGGAGAAGCCGAAGCATTCAGTTGAGGTCGCGAGACGAAACCCCACCTTTTGGGTTGGGCGTGCCCCTCCTTTTTGAAGCTCGCCTCTTTATTACTTCGCTGCCTGTACATACATACATACATTGCATGCTGTTACGCTCTGGGCAAGCATGTCAATGACATCGGTTAGGCGACGTTAATTCACCATCGGGCAGCATCGTACGAACTGAGCAGCTGATCTTTGTATGCATACTCAACATATCTATGCTTCGCAACACAAGCTGTTTGGCAGTTCATAGCTAGCGTACTTCTACTTCGTCAATATAGATGCAGTCAGTCGGACACATCGGCCACCCTTTCTCTAATATTCTATATTAATCAGTTCCATCATGTACATTAATTAGGTACTCTCAGTCGGCCATTCGCGCCCCCTCGCCTCCCACCACCATTTGGCAGTGGCGGTATGTTCGGGAGCTGGAATGGCTTCTTATGCGGCGCCTCTGCATTCATCGCTTGCCACATTTCCCACATGGTCGCTCGTCGGGCTGGAAGCATGCTGTACTGAAGGCTGTACAGGTTGCGCCGGTTGATGGGTGGCACAAATTGCCCCGTTAAAAGACACAGAAAGACGCGCGGCGAAAGATAGTGCTTGCGAATCCGCTCGGCCATCTGAAAGTATTGATTGAACATGGCCTTGAATGACAGCGGTACAGACTGTGGCGAACTTTGTTAGAAATGGGACACGGGAAGAGAGGCGGTAGCAAAATACCTTGAGGTAGATGACCGAGGTCGGAGGTTCATTAACATTACGGTTATGGGATCTATTATGCTGGGCATCACGTAGTTCAAATCGGATGCCGCCTAAAGGATACGTTAGCACGTGCTGCAATGCTTTGGGGTCGCATTGCTCTTACCAGGTAGTCGCCTAGAATCCTTGACTCTCAACATTAGGGCGAACAGCGGAAAGTGGTTCAGACAAGACAATAATGTGTCGAACCCAGCTTTCATCGAGATGATCATCATGCGGGCGATGGCAAAATTAATGTAAAAAACGCCCACTGTCGGTAGTAAAAACGAGAGAAGCGTAAATAAAATCGTGCCAACAAGCAGCTGGTCGAGGTCGTAGTCGCAAGAATCGATACGGTTGCGCAAGACGTTGTGCTTCTTGCCGCGGAAGAGATGGAAAAGAGATTGCAAAATAGTCAGCTGCCAGTGATATATACGAGCCGACGCGAGGTAAAACGAGTATATGTGGATGGTCAGGGCTGAGAGCAGATCTGAGAGCATCGCCAGCGGCATACTTGCTCCTGCAAAGGAAGAAAAACCGATGAACCAGACCAGTTTCGGTAGTGCAGGAGCGAGGGCATCGATGCAGTCTGCAATGCAATGTTAGTGACAGGGGCGGTGCATCGCATTTCTCAGACAAACTCACTTGACCAGTACGTAATCACCCAAAGGAACAGGGCGCCCAAGAAGCTCGCCAGCTCGCCGTTGAGCTTTAGACCAGCCGGCCATCCCATGAGCCAAGAAATACTGCTCCGCAATGCCTCGACAGTGTAGACGCGCAGCAAGTCGTTGATCTTCATTGACACCCAGTCCGCATTCTCGATAATATACGAACCAATGGCAATTCCGATAATCACGTCATTAGCAACAAGCCAAAGACTGTTGTAGAAACGAATGTAGTCCGGATGGCTGGTGGTGACACTGGCCCAGTCCATTTTGCGCTGCCGGAGTGTAATGTACTGCATAGGCCAGTAGCAAAACTGCAGCAGGCGGATCTCAATCTGCTGTGCAGTGGCCGATATGTCCTTCACAGCCGCGTAGCCTGGTTTGATGCGGAACTCGAGAACTGTGAGGAGCATCTCTGCCATGGCACGATGAACGAAAAGTAGCATCACAAATGCCTTCCGAACGATGGGGAAAATGTAGAGAACAAAGGCGTTCCACAACTGCATGAGAATATAGTTTCGCATCGCCGTGGTAGATTCGACAACCCTCTCCGACACGCTGAGGCTTCGCTTTGGGCGTGGCCCCAGCCTGCCGACATTCTTTTGCAAGGTCTGCTCCAGCTCCCATGACCAATTGACCTGGTGAACGACCTTTTCGAGTGCTTTGTCTCGAGCGGAAGCAGGCCGACTGGTGATAGAGTGTTGCTTTAGCTTGTTGACCAATCTGAGCTTGGCCTCCCTGCTTTTTCTCTCGCGGCGTTCTTCCTCGCCCTCTGAACCATCGCCTTTACCATCGTCGAGGGCGTACCACTTGTCACCAAGCGCAAGCGATATCGGATTGAGGGAGATGTATTGCATGCCTCTTGGACGCGGTCGGTCGTATAGAATCAGCTGCACGCTGGAAGCCTTGGCACAAGTGATTCGAGGTTCTCGAGAAGCACTGGTCGTAGCGCAGACCCATGACGGGTCTACCAAAGCGAGGCTCGTCGTATTCGAGACGCCAAGTACGTGCATAGAGGAGTGGCCACATAGTTCATAAATGCGGTTGGGAGAATGAGGGCCGCTGCGGAAGAAAGTGTTGGATCGGAGGTGGATTTCGACATTGCGAGGCTGGTGCAAGGGGTTAGTTGAACTGCCTCGAAATATTTCTTGGCGTGCCACTCACATCGACATCGTCTAAAACCGCAACAACAAACACATCGAGCGTTGAATTGCGCCAGCCAACAACCACGCCCGGACGATCGGATAAGCGAATGTCTGTCGGCCAAAACACGCGCATCAAACCATCGTGTTCCACCATGACCAAGACGCTATTGGTCTATAATACAGACAAAGTTGTTGGTCTTGCGATCTTTCTGTTCAAAATGAGCCTCGGCGGCGTAGCTGTTCGCGGGCTGAGACAGCAATTCCGGGTTGCCTTGGATGCTGCGAGGACGTTAGCTCGCAGTTCAGCGCTCATTCGGCGAGCCGCTCGTACAAGATATGTCTCGTTTTTCGCTAGAAGGTAAACCGGTAGAACGACGACGAAGAATAGAGCGGTCAAGGCAATGGCACCTTTGGCAGCGCGAACCTATCGAGGTGAAATAGCCACGTCAGTACATCACAAAGCATGCAAACCATACGCCTGTGCGCGGCCAGGGGGGATGACCAGCCTCTGAGGCAACGTACCGCAACTTGATACTCCCACGCAAAAATGGCAAGCTCATACAAGCGAGTTACGAGGTCCCAGCGTGCAGTAATGTAGCCAGCTACAAAGATGCCGAGGGTGAGGATGGAGAATGGGTGCATAGAGCTCTGCCTCTTCTACTGCCGGCAGTGCATGCCGCGAATCGAGGGGTGATGGGAGACGCGCGCGGGATCGAGGGGGGAAGAGCTCTCCCTGGCAGTTGGCGGCGGTTCGTCGTCGGTCGAAGGCTGGCCGAGGACGAGACGGATGGGACAGACGACTAGCTGTCCTTGCCTAGCCGGGACAGAGTTGAAGGAGCTCAATGAGGCGCAAAGGAGTTGTAGAGAGATGCGCTGCCCATCTCTAATCTGCAGGTTGGTATGGCAAATTAGCCAGATGTCGTTAGCTCAGCAAGAAGCAGAAGAGCGCGAAGCCGCTATGAAGCGAAAAGCGGGTCGGATATCATGGTGGTAGATGGCGACCGTGAAATGGAGATAGGAAATGCCTAGGTGGTAGGTAGGCGGGAATTATTGTCGTGGAAGTCATTACTTATGTACAAGCGCCTTGCCTAGAACCATTATACCATATCTATCCAGCTTCATGTTGATGAGAATGCGCTTCGACTTGACCACAACTCCGTTGCCGACTAGCTCCTAGCGCGACGTCCTTTGCTGAGTCGCCGACTCCGTCGCAAAAATGCAATTTGAGCAGTTGCTGCTCAAATTGCAAGGCGCAATTGACCTGTACCTAATCATAAAGAGAATTTCGCTGCGCAATATCTTGTATTTGTACATAGATGAGACCAATTCATTGGCCACTATCCAACGAGTGGGGAGAAAGTGACGGAATGCCCGCCTGGTTGCCATATTGTCCAGCAACTCTTGGTGTCAAGCAGCCTAAAACGCCGTAAAATGCTAGTATATCCGGAATAAATATCATCCTAAATCATAAGTAGTCAGCAAAGGAATATGACTATCCATCGGGAGATTGCCATACTCTTTGGTTGCGTTAGTCGTGCATCATTCTCCTTGTTGTCTTCCCTAGCTTCGTCCAGGAGCTTGTCAATGCCGCGTTGCTTTAAAGCCATCTAGGTTTGTCCAGTTAGCGATTACCCTTCATCCAAAGACTTTGACACATACTCCGAGACATTTTTGATATTGTTTGAAGAGATCTCCGCACTCTTCATTGTCCTTTTCGGCACCGCGAAGGTACTCTGTACGCCGTTAGCGACGACCTTCCTCTCCCTAACTTCCAGGCCACTCGGATGCAACTCACTTTCGCTATACCATTTCAGAAAGCATGTGTCGTAGCGTCTATGTCAGATTAGCATCCGTATTTTGTTATCCAGCCATGGGACTCTCACTCCTTGATTTCGTTGCATTCTGGGGCGAGTGACGCAGACATGGTGGCGGATGTGCTGGAGGCAGGAAAGCCGACAGGGTGAGAAATTGTGGCGAGAAACCAAGTCTGCAAACGAAAGCGCCTACCAATTGGCCAGCAACGTCGGCCTCATCACAGGGGCAAAAAATCCGAATTCTAAAACCAGCATTTAAATTCGGATCATCTTCACTATATAAACGTTCTAATTAATTCATATACACACTGCTCTTCGCGGTGTTCTCTGCCAGCCACAGCTCGGGGCAGGTTGAGCTGCTCACTGGCCACTACGGGCGCGAGTGTCCACCGAGGCCGGCCAGAATTCCAATTGTAGTTCCTGCAATAGCGGACAGCGCGCCGCGATCTTTACCCAACAAATAGCAATATCGCACCCATGCTTATGCCAGGTGCGTTCGCGCGTCCGGCCTGAAGTCAGAAAAAACAACAATGAACCGCTATGGCGCCCTCAGACGAAATACTCAAGGAATCCCTCATCCAAGGTACTTACGAGTCTTCAAGCGGGAGCCAGATGCGACGTTCGCCAACAAAGTTCGCCACTACGTTGGTGGAAAGTTGGGCCAAGAGGATGGCTTCTTTTCGGCAAAAGTCTGGAAGTAGGAGAGCAAGCTGATCATCAAAGAACATATCGTAAGTCATCCGGTGTTGGGGCAGAACCGCTGGATCTCACGCTATTCGCGACAGGGCAAACTGCTAGATGGATGGACAGGTGAGGAGAAATCTTCCTCACCCGAATGAAGGCGAAAACACACGCCAAATTACATGCTTGCTCGAAAATGTATGCATCATGATGATAAATGTCGTAAATGTACATGGGAACCCTCAAGTATTGTCATTCTGGCTTCCTGCTCTTTATGATGTCGAGATCCGTTGGTCGTTGGATACCCGCCCGTCTCTTGACGTCCGCTCGTCCTTGGATATTCTCCCGTCGCTGGATACCCGCTCATCGCTGCCCGCTGCCACCGCCGCGTCACCCTCCTCCAGGAGTGCCCGGACCTCGTCGCCGCCCAGGCCGCGCTCCTGCCACGTCTGGAGGAGGCGCCGCGGGCGCTCCCACTGCCGCCGGGCTTCGTCAAGCCTGCCCTCCGCGACGAGCTGGCGCAGGCGCGGCGGTGTGGCGAGAACGTGGACGGCGAGGTCGCGGGTGCGCGCGCGGCGTCGGGCGGTTGCGCGCTCTTTGGCCTCGTCGGAGTCGGGGGCGGGGATGGAGGCGCGCAGGGCCTCGCGGATGTCGGCGGCCTGGCTGTATATCTGGGCAATGGCCGGGTTGAGGGTGGAAGCCATGGGGTTGAGGGGGTCCATGTTGGATCGCATCTGGAGGGGTTTTGGACAGTTAGTACAAAGGCCAACCCGGAAGAGGGGCGGGTGAAGCAGAGGGGGAAAAGGGGGGACATGGAGATGGGGTCGCACCTTGCGGATGGTTTCCGTGGCGGCTATGAGCTTGCTGTAGTTGTCGTAGACGAGGGCCTTCTTCTCGGCGTCGAGGGCGCGCACCTCGCCGACGACGCGGGTATAGAGGCGCAGCAGGTCCTCGAGGGAGCTCTCGGCGACGACCTTGGCCACGTACTCGTCTGTGTTGAAGGCGGGCATGTCCATGTCGCTGACTGGCACCTCGGAGTCGGGCAGTTCGACGCCGATGCGCGGCGTCGGGGCGGCGGCGGCGTTGCGTAGGTTGTAGTACTCGCGGAGGGCGGCGCGGTTCGCGCGCTTGGCGACCGGGATCGTCGTCGTCGTGGAAGGCGGATCATTGTTGACGGGGGAGGTGACGGTGGAGCGGGCGGCGTCAAGAGACGGCCGGTTCGAGGATGTTGGGGTGATGGTACTGGAAGGCACGCGGCGGATGGGCGTCGAGGGTTCGCGGGGACTGGCAATGGTGGACATGGTGTGTGATGTTTCGTGAGTAGAACGGCGGCGGAGGCGCAGGAGGGGGATGGTAAGGCTCGCGCGGTCGCACGATGTTGTGAGGGAATTAAGAGCCCGGCATCCGGATAATGGGTGTATATAGCGGAGGCAGGGTGTGTGGTGAGGCCAAATGCATGTAAGGTAGGTCGGTCGTGTCGTGTCTATTTGCAAGTCGTTGGGTTGGGGTGACGAACAAAGAGGCGAGGCAGTTAGTTGGTCTAGAGCTGGCGGATTTGGTGTCAAGAGCCAGGTACGCGGCCCACCAACCGCCACTAGTACCTACCTGTAGAGAGAGTCTTAGTGGCCTACCTCCTTCTACGGATACTGAATCTCGTAGTTACATCAGCCCATAGTCCGTCATCAACTACTCCTCAAAGAATTAACAGAAAAGACTAAATGGCTTGGTATTTTGCGACCGTCTCAACATTATAACCTTGCTCTGCAGGTTCGCACCGGCAAATGGCACTCTCTCCCCGCATCTCCAACATCGTAGCTCCGTTTGCGACTGGCCCATTTTGACTGGATTACGGCATCCGCAGTGCGACTACCGAGCATGTCCCGTTTCGCATCCTGTTGGGAACCGAACGTGCGGAATCGAACCCGAAATATTCGTGCATGTCACTGTGAGTCTGGCAATTGGCGATTGGCGAAGTGTGGCCGGTGTACGGGGCGTCCTCACCCTCACCCTACCCAAGTGGACAACCGAGCGGGCAGGTAGCTGTCTTTGGCAAGCACACGAGCGTGTATCTGGTACCCCATGTACCAAGCAGGGAAGCCAAGTTATGTGCAAGCCTATAAATGATCGACATACAAGGCACTCTGTGTACAAAAGGAGAAAACTCTACATGGGATGAGGAGTCGGACGCCTCTGTATCTATCCGCCATTCAGCATGCAGGCACAGCTTTCCGGCTGCAACCATGTGGAAGAGCCGGGACGACGGCAGACCCAGAAAGTTGTCTCAAAATTGGAATGAGGCATGGGACCTGCTACTGACGCGGGACGGCGGCAACGGGGTCCGGCGGAGAGGTACCCGGAGGAGTAGGCGGCATCATGAGCACAAGAAAGTGTATTGATGTCGACCAAGCCCCCCTCATATCGGCCACGTTGAATCATTGGTGACGATGACCACCCTTCATCACGACACATCAGCACAATATGCTTGCCGAGCGCCGCGCTCTACGAACGGCATCCCCCCGCCTACAGCCGACTTGGCATCGACAACCAGGCTGCGTCATGCCGCTGCTTAACCTGCTCAGAAAGCCTTGCACATCTAGACCACCAAATATGTACCAATAAAAAGGTGCAGCGCGCTTTTTCTTTCCTCTCCTTGGTCGCTATTGGCAGCGGGAAGCAACGCATCTGCGGCACACCAAAACCACACGCTTGGGCACTTGTTGAGGCTGTGCGGATACGCAACAAATATACAACCCGCATACATACACGCATATACACACGCGTGCACACATGAATACATCGAGGTTCGCTGGAGAATGAGGAAATGAGGTAAACCTTTTCTTTTCGCTGGCCCGGACGGAGCAGAACCGCACAACGTGGTTGCATTCTACAACATGCGCAGACTTGGACATGCCTGACATTGGACGATTTCGATACTGGCTCATGATACTGCCAAATAATATCAGCACACCCGTGTACCTTGCACCTAGCTGAGTATGCGGAAGCACGGAGACACACCCATACTAGGTGAATTCTCCTTTTTCTCACGGGACCGCGCCCCAGCGGCGCGGGGGCGGGTGAGGCTCCCCCTGGTTACGCAGGCAAGCAGCGCAACGACAGGGCCCGACCGACCGGGATGCAGGAGTTCTCCCCCGGCGACACCTGTGCTTCGGAAAATTTACCCTTCATTGAGGTTTCTTGCCCCGCAGGAGCCAGCGCGCCTGATGCCAAGCTTCGCGGACGCCATGGCGAAACGCCTTCACCGATGTGCGGGTAATTTGGACATGATGCCGGTTCCGCGGAACTGCAGCATACTGAAGGGCTGTACCCAGAGCTGCCTCCCATCCACGGATGCACATACCAGGTAGGCAGTGTCGTGCGAGATTTTTCCTTCTCACGGTTCTACCTATCCCCACGAAGGAAGTGGCAGAAGTGGCAGAAGTGGCAGAAGTGGCAGAAGTGGCAGAAGTGGCAGAAGTGGCAGCATCTTTGTTGAGTCAGGCCAACCCTGGTCTAGTGTCCTGCATGCATGCCCACCGGCAGAACGAACGGAACAGAGAGGGCTGCTAAGATTGTATCCCAAGGTTGCGCCAAGGTATCGCGGCATCAACCCCCGGCTTGTCCCGTGGCTGGAGACCGCATACTTGGTGATTCAGGTATTACATACCCTCTCTCCTTCCGCTCGCTCATAACCTCTCAGGGCAATTCTGCCAAATATGACCTTTACACATACAGTGGCGCTGCAGGTTTCACTACCATCTATCGCACAGCTCCATGCCCATGCATCCGCCACAGAAGGTGACCTACTGTGCTTGCTCTCATCTAGATAATTTAGAAGGAATACACTGGATTCTAATATGCACAAAGCACATACCGTACCAAGATGGGTATTCAGCCCAAGCCACCTCGACTTTTTATAAAGACCGTTTTACCAGCCCAATCACCTCTTTCTTATCCCCTCTTAACTATAACAACCCAGCACAGCGACTTGTTCAGATTAAGTTACCCAATCACCATCCCTTCGCACTCATCGTCTTGCTTCCCCTTCTTCCTTTGTCTTGTTCAAGCGCCGATTGCCCCCCGCGGCGAGTCCCCGGCAAACCCGCGGTAGAATTCATGGCTCTCTCTGCAGAAGCCATCATCGCCATCGCCGCTCTCGTCCTCGCCCTCCCACCTGCCCTCCTCATCCTCTGGCGCTGGCTGCAGCGCGACGACTCCCGCGTGGCTGACGCTGAGAGTGCGAACCCCCTTCCTGCTCGTGCAAAAGAATTTTGCGAATAACGCTAACGGGCTGGCTCCCAGTGCAAATGTTGCCCAGCCATGGTTGGCACCCGTCGTCCCGGCCGTCCTTGCTCACGGGCGGCGCACCGGCTCGGCCCCACCCGGGCCAACACCAACAAAACCAACTGCATGAGCGCAAGGAGTTCTACTACGTCGCCGTGTATCAAGGATCAGCTTCGCGATAATCGCAGGATCTGTCAAACTTGCAGCATGGGACCAACCTCCAATGGAAATAGGATTTGGTCAAATGCATAATGTGTGTTGTATGCATAAAATATACCCTGTTTAGTAGCATGTCGACAGAATCGTGAACAAGTTTGCTCTTTCTGTCTTGGCCTATGTATGAACCTCTCACTATGCTCCTCCCTCCTTGCCTTACCAAGTGCCCCACTCTAGTCATTTGCCACCTAACTTGCCAAGCTGGGCGACATAGACGATGGAACTAGACCCGCTCGAAGGTCGAACTTTTGTCAGGTTTATTACGTTAGGGCCCGCTCAAGCATCGAACTTCCGTCAAGTCAAGGCAAACAGCGTAGCAACAAGTTGAGCGCACCTAGTCCTTCTTCACATAGCTCTTCCATTGTTCATTTTTTTTTCTACGATTTCAATAGTTTTTGTATTCCTCATATCCATCTTTTCTTTCTTTCTTTCTTTTTTTCTTCTTCAATTTTTGGCGCTTTGGACGGCGCCATCTACACGCAACAAGTACACACCGCACAAGACGGCCTCTGAAGCCCCGTCACGCACGCTAACTCGCCAACCACCGCTCTGCTTCCACCGTTGACTGACACAATGGCGCTCACTCCGGAAGCCATCATTGCTATAATCGCCGCTTTACTTGCCGTGCCTCCTGCTCTGATGATTGTTTGGAAATTGTGCAACTGTGTCCGTGCAGCCCCGGTCATCCCTGCCCGGTCGGAGCGACTTCCAAGCGAAGACGGTTCGTATCACCCACTCACAGACGCGCTTACAAAAGCGTGGTTAACTGCTCTTGCATCAATTACTGACGGCTGTCCAGGGCACCCTTCGCGACGCAATATCCGGCGGTCTTTTTGGGTGCCTCTCTCCGGCGCCATGTTGTTCACCGACCCGGCCGCATACCCAGATTGGAACAACCATCGAGTTCGAGATGAAGAGTGGGGGGGTGTGGATGTTGTATACATGCCTGCGTACCGCGGCGCTGTGTCACAGTATCACCACTAGCCCCCAGATTTGGGGCAACAACACATCTGGCTTGGCGTGTGTTGGAGATGGGATCGAGAAAGCAGCGATAGACTCTCATATGAGGCTCGAACGAGGCAACACTTGTGAGTGGACTCAATTTTTTTTCTCAAAATTTAACTGTGCTTGAGGTCACTGTCTTTGATATTGTCTTGCTTGCTAACAACCGATCCTCACTAGACAAGGATTGCTGCGCTTGGTTACTCAATATCTACTAACTGGTGGGGGCCGCGTGTTTCCGGACCCCACGGAGATCTTTCACGATCCCCCCGGGGCACCCCACTTCCGGCCCGCTATAGGCGGTTAGTGGCAGATGCAATTCAACGACAAGCCTACATGCGATATAGAGGAAATGTATTCGTTCTTATGTTTTGCAGCGATTTCGGCGAACCAAAATAAATTTTAAAAAATAAATTTCATGTGGAGGAGTGACTATAGGAGTAGGAAGCCAGAAATAGCCGAAACGGGCTTGTGAGGTGGTAAGCTGATGAGCTGCAGCACTTCTGGGAATGGCAGAATCCAATTTGGGATACGCTGCTTTTGGCATGTCATGGAAATAACTCAACGTCTTTCTTCGTCCCAGTGCCTCGAGGATAACCTACTTAGCGCTGCAGGTCTGACGGCTACTTTTGCGGATCTACAGCAGGCACGCCGGATAAATACAACTTGCGCGCCGTGATAGGTGGGAAAGGTCCGAGGTTTAAGCATCTGCGTCGTTGATGTAGGGTAGGAAGCCGAGATGGATGGCAAGAGGCCTCCCCTGTCCCCCACCCCCTCTTTCTTAGCCACTATTGCTGCCGCT